TGCATAATATCCCGCATATTCCATCGCATTTTTTAAGAAAACGTGCCGCATAATCAACGATTTTTGCCCGCAACAATCACCAAAAAACTCCGCGTTTTTCTGGAGGGACTGATTAGGACTTTCACAAAACCACACTTTACTCCCTTGCTGCACAAGGATATAATTAAAAGAGTGATCCATTCCTAATGTGCTTCTCTGGCAAAGGAGGTCCCATGATGTAGCTGCTCACCCCGAGCTCTCATTACCCTGATAGTGCATTGTCTTTGTGCTGTACGCCTGTTGGCGTCCTCTGGTCTCGCACCGTTATGAGACTAGGCTCAAAAGAAAGCTGTTTCAGGTGTGGACCAATCAGTTTTAAAGACAATGCATATATTATCTGAGTATGTTTTTTGTTTGCATTCTGACCACAAGTATTGTGGTGAATGCAGACATGATTCCTTGTAAAAGGTTTCAGTTTGGTGTTTTAACATCTTAACACCTGTTTTGTTGCCAGAAAATAGGGGGAAACCTCTTCTCATGTTTGTTGTTAATTCACTGCACCCAGCTCGTTCTATCCGGCGCCTTGAGATGTGGCCACGTTTACAGGGCTGGATAAATCTGCATGTTGTGTATGGTTGTGAGTGGTTAGCCCCCTCTCGTGGTCGCGTTGCAAATCTCCGTGAGAGTACAAACAAAAGCATCGTGCTGTATGAATAAGCAATTAATATTATTCTATGAGACCTCCTTTACCAGTGGCAAAATATAGTAATAAGTTTTTACCCTTTCAACTGGTACAAAAACTGACACCTTTATACAAGGCATCATGTTTGCAATAACCACAACACAAGCAGTCAAAATGCAAACAAAAAGAAACAACTCTGATGATGATAATGCTATGCACTGTCCTTAAAGTTGATTGGTATAAAGGTGTCAGTTTTTGTACCAGTTGAAAGGGTAAAAACCTATTACTATAATTAATATTATTGTTGATTTGAAGCTTTCGTGACTGCAGGAATCCATACTCTTTGGTTCTTTCAGTAAAGTCATAAGCTAAATCTCGATAAGTTTTTTTTGGCAGATATCCATGAGCAGTACATCTATATACAGTATATACATATTGTAGTTGATTTCACTGTGTTCATCAATCACACCAACTCCAGCTTACGTCGAAATCTCATTACACGGCAATGCTGACGGCATCTCCCTTCTCGCATACACCTCCGTCTCTTCATAATCAACGTGTTTGGGTTAGATCGCGTTATTTATAAATGTGTCGTAACCCTCCACCACTCGACACGGCCAATCAGCAAAAAAGTGTCACGTTGACAAAAGACAAATAGTTCACTGCTTTAGCCCACCGGTGTGTTGAAGAGCGAAACATTGTAAATGTTGTGGTCGGGTGGTGGAGGGTTACGGCACATTTATAAATAACGCGATCTAACCCAAAAACGTTTATTTTTGAATAATATTGGTCGCGAAAGCCTTACGTGTTAATCTGACCTCCGTCTCTTGTCTGCCATCCCTGTCCATCTCGCCACGCGTCTGTCTTAGAAACCTTGCACGCCTCGTCCATATCTCTGCTGTGCACACGTGGTGTTGTCACACCAGCTCTGTGGTAGGACGACCTCTTTTAGCGCTGGTTCGATTAGCGCTCACTTCTCCAGGAGCGCATCTTGAGTGCTAAGCGAGGTCTGCCTGTGTATCGATTTTATTGACACACGTTCAACTATTCAACTATTTTTTGCAATTTTTTATTTTACCAGGTGAGGCCCACTGATCTCGCTCTTTTCCATCATGTGGAAATGAGTAGCAGCCAAATACGATGAACGCGTGATGTTGATTCTAAATTTCGAGGGGGAAACCGGAGGACCCGGAGAAAAATCCACGCGACCACGGGGAAAGAGCGACGCAAATTCCAATTATACAGCAGCAGGCGTCAGGTTCGGGATCGAACCCACGACCTCCCCCATACCAGGCGAGGTAGTTAACATCTCCGTCACTTCACGAGGAATTTAATTGAAAGGGAGAGGGGCCCACAAGATGAGGTCTGCTGAGGCTCCCCAATTGGCTAGCAGCACCACTGACTGACGGTTCGTGTCTTGAGTCGGGGGGTGGGGGGGGAGTCGAACCTTCCCGGTCGGTGCGAGTTTAGAATCTGAATCTTTATTTTGGACCGGAGGAATCCGATGAGTTCTTTTTCACAGATGCCCAGTACGGGCTGCTCCTTCATGGCGCGCTCATCCACTGGTGTATGCAGCGGAGGAGTGGAGCTGGGAGTGGAGGTGAGAGAGAGAGACAGACAGACAGGGGGAGAGTGAAATTTTGGCGAGGGAATAAGTGAGCCACTTGAGAGGAGAGAGTGATATTCTTGGTTCTTTCGGCAAAGTCACGTAGAAGGGAAATAATAAAATAATAATAAAACATAATACAATTCTCACGACGTTTCGGCCAAAGCGCAAGCAGCCGTCCTCAGGTGAAGAACAGGGCTGTTAGAAAGACAGCATCCTAATGAACACTGCTAAGCTTGGCAGCGTATTTTAAGCTTAGCAGTGTTCATTAGGATGCTGTCTTTCCGACAGCTCTGTTCTTCACCTGAGGACGGCTGCTTGCGTTGTGGCCGAAACGTCGTGAGAATTGTATTTTATTATGTTAGATTTTTATTATTTCATTATTTCCCTTCTACGTGGCTTTAATGAAAGAACTAAGAATATGAATCCCTGCAGTCACGAAAGTTTTACAATCCAAAGGAGAGAGTGAGATTGAGAGAGTCACCGGGTGAGACTGTGAAGGCAGAAGATAGACGAGGGCGAATGTGGGGGAGGGAGGGGGCATCAGGCGTGACACTGTGTGTGAGCGTGGCACATTGAGTGTGTGAGCATAACACTGAGAGTGTGTGAGCGTGAGACTGTGAGTGTGTGAAATCCCTCAGCCTGGAACACATCGTGGGACAAAGTGGGGATGACCCTGCTGAGGCTGCGGTGCCTCAAAATTTGGAAGAAGAAGAAGTCACCCCCTGTGAGTGGCTGGCTGACGTGCCATCTGTTGAGGAAGTACTGAAGGCGACCCGGAGTCTGAGACCAGGAAAGGCACCGGTAAGAGATGATCTCCCAAACGAAATGCTGAGGGAGGGTGGCGTTTGTGAACAGACTGCCCTACATGACATCATAACAACAGTCTGGACCACTGGACGGGTTCCACAGGATTGGAAGGATGCCCTGGTGGTCCCCCTCTTTAAGAAGAAGTGGGACCGCAGAGACTGTAACAATTACAGGGGCATCTCATCTGAGCCACTGCTCACGATCACTAAGGACCTTCATGATGGTGAGCAGGCCCGGGTAAAACTACGTGGCTGGGAGTCGGAGCCATTCCCTGTTCACCTTGGGGTGTGACAGGGATGTCCTCTGGCTCCCACATTATTTAACATCTATTTCGACCACATAATTCGTGAAGCCTTCAATAGCTGTACCAGAGGAATTTCCATCTGGTACAGATACAATGGGAGGCTGATTGATGCCCGGGTGCGGTCAAGGGATGGCTCCCAATTGGTCAACCATGTTATGTATGCCGATGATCTGGTAATTGTTGCTCACTCAGAGGAGGAGTTGGAGGCGCTGCTGCTGAACCTGGAGGTTGCACACTAAGAGGTGGAGCCTTACCATCAGCCCCACCAAAACTAAGGACCTGCCTGGGTATTTTGTACCATCGGACACTCCACCCCCACAACTCCCAATTGGTGATAGGGCAGTTGTGGAGCGAGTTGAGAGTTTCCCTAACCTGGGCAGTGTGCTCATGACCGGCTCCGGTTTGACCGCAGAGGTCTCACTCCGAATCAGTCGAGCGGCATTATCTTTTCATCGGTTGCGTAACGCTGTGTGGAAGCTACCTGGTCTGTCGCTCCGCACGAAGCTTCAGGTCTTCTAGGCCACAGTCATTCCCTCCCTTCTCTACGCTTGCAAAACGAGGACCCCCATAATGGAACATCTTCGCCGGTTAGAAAACTTTAGGCTGGCCTGCCTACGATCCATCCTGGGTTTAACCAGGCTGGATTGTGTGAGGAGCTCACAAATCATTGAAATATCTTGACAAAGTTGGCTGGGCCATGTAGCCCGCATGCCCAGACACCACATTCCTAAACAGCTTTTGTTCGGCCGGATTGAGGGGGCTAAACGGGCGTGGCACGGGCTCGAAAGGAGATGGAGTGACGTGGTACAGGAGGACGTGGAGCTGAGTGGACTTGCCGATGACTGGTACCAGCGGTGTCAAGATCGGCCTCAGTGGAGGAGGCTCGTGAAGGACGCTACTGGGCAGTTGGAGGCAGTCGCCCTCCAACAACAACGGAGGGCGGAGGAGCGACGCTCACAACAACGAGCGGAGCGCCGGGTGGCTAAAGCACAGCAAGTTGCCACAGTAGGGGGCACAGGTGGTGCATCAGCCAGTCATCTCGGTCATCTCGGTCAGTCGACCTGTGGCACCTGGTTCTGACCCGTGACCTCCTGCCAGCGGGCGTTCACGTGGCCTCAAGGTGCACCTAGCCTGGCACAAGCGTCGTGGTGAAGTCACCACCACTTAGTGGCGATTGTTGTTGTTGTTGTGTCAGCGTGACACTGAGAGTGTGTGAGCGTGACAGTAGCGAATATTTGAACCGGTCCTGGGCCTCCCTTAGGTCGACACAGCCTCAAATGAACAACTGGTGGGGGGGGGGAGGGGTAAACATCGCCACTTAGGGAGACAAAGGCGGCCGGGCGTGGAGCTTTTCATCCACTCTCTCGTGTACCGCTCACAGCGCTTGCTCCAACAGTCTGTTGAGGTCATCCAGGGATCTTTGTCTTGGTGAGAGCGTGAGACTGGGAGGAGGAGGAGAGAATGCACGAGATTTGGGGGGAGGGGAAGTGCCTCTCAGAGGAGGAGGAGGGAGGGAGGGATGGAGGAAGGAGGGAGCGGAATGGCTACAGAGAACGACTGGCTGGGGGGGGGGGAGAGGGCGAGAGAGTGAGACTGGAGGGGGAGCGTGAGATCTGGGAGGGAGATAGTTACGTGATGTCGGTGGCGAGAGAGGAGGAATGCCACAGTGGGACGAGGGACACTGAGAAGAGGGAGAGAGAGAGAGAGACTGTTAGAGAGAGAGCGTGAGAGTGAGACAGTGTGTGTGTGATGTTGATGTAAAGAGAGAGAGTCTGGTGGTAATAGGGAGAAAGCATCCGAGAGAGAGAGCAACACAGATTCAGCGAAGACCTCAGGCTCAGAGTGAACACCTCCTCCTCATCCTTCTCATCCTCCTCATCCACATGGCATCCCAAAGAGCTCTCTTCTGCTCCTCTCTGGGGGTAGCTACGTGCATCTTCATCTTCGTGAGCCTTCAGGTGGGGTCCCACAGCAGCACACTGACACAGTACACACACTGATACAGTACACACACTGATACAGTACACACACTGATACAGTACACACTGATACAGTACACACATTGATACAGTACACACACTGACACAGTACACACACTGATAAAGTACACACTGATACAGTACACACACTGATACAGTACACACTGATACAGTACACACACTGACACAGTACACACTGATACAGTACACACTGATACAGTACACACACTGATACAGTACACACACTGCCAGTATACACACTGATACAGTACACACACTGATACAGTACACACAGTACACACTGACACGGTACACACACTGATACAGTACACACACTGACACGGTACACACACTGATACAGTACACACACTGACAGTACACACACTGATACAGTACACACACTGATACAGTACACACAGTACACACTGACACAGTACACACACTTTATACAGTACACACTGATACAGTACACACTGATACAGTACACACACTGACACAGTACACACTGATACAGTACACACTGATACAGTACACACACTGATACAGTACACACACTGCCAGTATACACACTGATACAGTACACACACTGATACAGTACACACAGTACACACTGACACGGTACACACACTGATACAGTACACACACTGACAGTACACACACTGATACAGTACACACACTGATACAGTACACACAGTACACACTGACACAGTACACACACTTTATACAGTACACACTGATACAGTACACACTGATACAGTACACACACTGACACAGTACACACTGATACAGTACACACTGATACAGTACACACACTGATACAGTACACACACTGCCAGTATACACACTGATACAGTACACACACTGATACAGTACACACAGTACACACTGACACGGTACACACACTGATACAGTACACACACTGACAGTACACACACTGATACAGTACACACACTGATACAGTACACACAGTACACACTGACACAGTACACACACTTTATACAGTACACACTGATACAGTACACACTGATACAGTACACACACTGACACAGTACACACTGATACAGTACACACTGACATAGTACACACACTGATACAGTACACACACTGACAGTACACACACTGATACAGTACACACACTGATACAGTACACACAGTACACACTGACACAGTACACACACTGATACAGTACACACTGATACAGTACACACACTGATACAGTACACACATTGATACAGTACACACACTACACACACTGACACAGTACACACACTGATACAGTACACACTGATACAGTACACACACTGACAGAATAGTCATCATCATCAATGAGGATTATAGGAGTTCGATAACAACCGATCGTCTCCTACTCATGATGAGCATTATAATCATCATCATCATCATCTGTCAGTCTAGTGTATATCATATCATCCGTCACACTCATTGTGGTTGGGTTGATTGATGTATAGTGTAGGAAGTTGGATGATACGCTAGCCAACTCATAATAATAATCATCTTTATTATCAAAGACGTCGTAGAGTGGTTCATGTCGTCTGTCATCATCCATCACCGTCTTAATTATCAAAGGTACCTCATGGTATACACGTCAATTTAATCATATACATCATCATCTTTATCACTAAAGTCATCATCAAATTGACCACGTCTTATAATCCATCAACTTTATCATCGAAGTCATCCTCGAATGGTCCATGTAGTCTATTTAATATTAACCATCATCAACATCACCATCATCACCATGTAATTTTAGATGTGAAGCTTTCGTGACTGCAAGTATTCATATTCTTAGTTTTTTTCGGTAAAGTCACGTAGGTAAAACATTTAAATTAATAAAAGTTTTAATTTTATTTTTTTTACCAACGTGAGTTAACGGAAAAAAACCTAAGGATATCATCATCATGAGCAGCATGAGAGTAAGTTGTGTTCCTGATGTTGTTGAGAAGGCGTCAATATCGCTTCCTGTACCGCGTCTGCAGCCACGTGGTCCTCGTAATATCTGCAGTGTAAATGACACATCGCAGTATCTCGTGTTGCGTGTGTGTGATAGATGAGTTGAGGTGGTTGTGTGATGGAAGAGTGATAATCTGCAGTCTTTCCGTGAGAATCTGTGGAGTTACTCCCCCACCTTCATCACAGGTTGTGTGCATGGAGACATCACAAGCTTTGGTTCGGCGTTACTGGGATTGCGTTGTGGATGACATTGGTTGGGGGTAGGGACAGGATTATACTGGTAGGAACCTCCTGGTTACACCAGCCCACAGGGGATTATTGTGTCAGTCCGTCGTGCAGGGAAGGGTTGGGTGGGAAAGGAGGGGCTGGATGGGGAGGGTGGGGAGGGGCTGGGTGGGGAGGGTGGGGAGGGGCTGGGTGGAGCTGGGTAGGGTGGGGAGGGTGGGGAGGGGGCTGGGTGGGGAGGGTGGGGAGGGGCTGGGTGGGGAGGGGAGGGTGGGGAGGGGCTGGGTGGGGAGGGTGTGGAGGGCCTGGGTGGGGAGGGTGGGGAGGGGCTGGGTGGGGAGGGGAGGGTGGGGAGGGGCTGGGTGGGGAGGGTGGGGAAGGGCTGGTCACCCCGTGGTGCCCTTATAAAACTCAACGTTTCACCTACTCACGCCGGCTTGTGCCCGCCCTCACAGTCGGGCATATTTGCGGAATACACCACGCCGCCGTTGACCCTGGCCATTGACCGAGAAACCCAACGTTTCTACCAGCTCCCTCCGCAGCAGGAATGTGTTGGATATGGATCGTACTGTGTTTGTGTGTTAGGACTAGCTACGGCTGGTACTTGTGTTAGGGTTAGGATTAGAGTTTGGGGTAATGCACACGGCTAGCAATTTATGTTCGACGCAAGGCTAGAGTTATAAGGAGGGTTATGGCTATGATGAGTTATTGTGATAGGTTAGGATTAGAGTTAGGGGTAGGATTATGACTCTGATGAGTTCTTGTGTTAGGGTCAGGGCTAGGCTTTCGATTCGCATGTGTTTGGAGTACCAAGACTGGACAAGGACTTGAGTTAGAGACGGGGCTTAGGCGAGGGTCAGGACTGGTTCTGGCTTAGCTTAGGGTCACTGCTGGTTGCCTGTGCCCATGTTTTCTGGCTGCTATGCCACTGAAATGCGTGGATAATTCATCGCCGAGCCTGGCTGATGCCAACATTGTATTCTTTAGTTCGGCTAAAGTGACTCACAAACACGCGGCGGGCAATCTTACACGTTCCACAGCCTTATAGACGTGCAAGTGCTGCTGTTTGCGAGCTCCTATTAAGGCCGGCAGATCACACGTGCGACGCGGCTGTCTGCTACACCAATGGACATTTCGGAATAGCCCCCAGAGTGCAACTGAGGTCACCAATGTCAAACCATGATCCACATTGCTGGCTTCCATAATTGAAATCTATGGGTTTATATGTGGATCTATGGGTTTCGGTGTAAGTCTGTAGGTCTCTATACACGCCGATGAATATCTATGGGTACGCCTACCTTCAAGTGAGTCTCGAATCATGGCCCTCATTGCCCGCTTCAATTCTCAATGTTTAGTCTCTGTGCGAGTCTCTGGGTCGCTTTGTGAGTCTATGGGTGTTTATGCGATCGTGCGGGTCTAATCGTGAGTCGTTGGGTCTCTGTGTATGTCTAGGAATCGCTACGTGGGTTCTGTACTGTATCATTCTCGATATTCACCGCGGGGCCACTGCTAAAGCCGTCCACTGGCTCATACCAGCACGGCCACCACGCCCCACGTTGCCATTGTCTATAGAGATACGAAGGCGGAAAGGTGTGTCGCTGCACCTGTTTGCCACGACCACGCGTGGCGTGGCTAACTCGATAGGTGCCCCCACACAGCACCAACTCTTGATTGAAAGCTTTCGTGACTGCAGGGATTCATCTTCTTGGTTCTTGCGGTAAAGTCACGTAGAAGGGAAAAAATAAAATAATATTGATATAAAACAATAGAAATTCTCACGACGTTTCGATTGAAAGCTTTCGTGACTGCAGGGATTCATCTTCTTGGTTCTTTCGGTAAAGTCACGCAGAAGGGAAATAATAAAATAATATTGATATAAAACAATAGAAATTCTCACGTTTCGATTGAAAGCTTTCGTGACTGCAGGGATTCATCTTCTTGGTTCTTTCGGTAAAGTCACGTAGAAGGGAAAAATAAATAATATTGATATAAAACAATAGAAATTCTCACGTTTCGATTGAAAGCTTTCGTGACTGCAGGGATTCATCTTCTTGGTTCTTTCGGTAAAGTCACGTAGAAGGGAAAAATAAATAATATTGATATAAAACAATAGAAATTCTCACGACGTTTTGATTTAAAGCTTTCGTGACTGCAGGGATTCATCTTCTTGGTTCTTGCGGTAAAGTCACGTAGAAGGGAAAAATAAACAATATTGATATAAAACAATAGAAATTCTCACGACGTTTCGATTTAAAGCTTTCGTGACTGCAGGGATTCATCTTCTTGGTTCTTGCGGTAAGGTCACGTAGAAGGGAAATAATAAAATAATATTGATATAAAACAATAGAAATTCTCACGACGTTTCGATTTAAAGCTTTCGTGACTGCAGGGATTCATCTTCTTGGTTCTTGCGGTGGAGTCACGTAGAAGGGAAATAATAAAATAGTAAAAATAAAACATAATAAAATAAGAACAGGTCTGTCGGAAAGACGCTGTCTTTCCGACACCTGAGGACGGCTGCTTGCGTTGTGGCCGAAACGTCGTGAGAATTGTATTTTATTATGTTTTATTTTATTTATTTTATTATTTCCCTTCTACGTGACTTTACCGAAAGAACCAAGAAGATGAGCACCAACTCCTTACACAGTCCATCCACCGACATGTTCTACATACTGCTGGACGAATGCCTCCCCACACCGAGCCTCATGGTCCGGAGTTCCTGCCACACTTGATCACTGTTTCATTGCTTTATTTTGGTGATTTCGAAAAGTTTACTGGTTTGGCCACGTTTGTTTGTTGTAGTACGGAGCTAGACTGATGGCCTTAATCTAAGTTGTCTTGTGGTTGGTGTTGTTGTTGTTTGACTTGCATCCCACTGGGATTTTTGCACACAGCGTTGGTGTGCGGTGCTTTTTTTCTGCAATATTTTGCCGTCTTTTCTTGGATTTTCTGTTTGCACTTAGTCACATATTCACTTTAAGATGTTTTGTTGTTCATGTTTTAGTTTTTTGTTTGTTGCGGTTGCACCCGATTCAAGAGCCGAATGGCTCACAGGGCTATACCTAATAAATTAACTTAAACGAGTGACCGTGTTCTATCCGCTGCTAGATGGAAGCCTCACCACGGCCCCCGTATGGGCCCAAATGTGGCATCTGACATTCGGAACAAAAGCCACCACGCCATGCGTACGCACACAAACCCAGCCGGGCGAGTTCGGCGTCTTGTTCAGTTTCTGGCTGCCCGCCCTCCCTCCCTCCGCCTTCACGCACTAAAGAATTCGCAGCGTTTCCAAACCAGTTGAGAGCGTGACACCCAGAAAACGAAAAACAAATCCGTGACAAAAGGGATTCGTGACATGTGTGATTGTGAGGACACGTACACAAACGGCTTTGCTATTCTTGAGCACGTGACGTTTGCAGCTTGAGCCAACCCCCGTCTGTAAACACGCACTTGTCACCACGTGAATCGTATCACCCAACACCACCGTGAATGTGTGTACGCGTGTGTGTTCGTCCAGGGGCCAGTTCCGCTTCGATGCCTTCTCACGAGCAAGGGGCCGTCCATAAATGACGTCACGCGATTTTGGACGATTTTTGACCCCCCCCACCTCGTCACACGGCGTCACAAAAAGTCAGACCCCCCCTTCAAATATGACGTCACAAAGCTCTGCCCCCCCCCTAAAAAAAAATAAAACCTGCTTCAAATCGCTTTAAACTATTGTCATTGTAGTGCGTATTTAATGTGCCGCTGCACTCCGATGTTGTAGGAGAAAACATTTATCAAAACGTCTGTTTAATTAAGTGGAACGTGTTGTCTATATCTATTTAAAGTTGCGCATTTTGATGTGACGTCACATTTCTCACCCCCCCCCCTCGTCACACATCGTCACAAATGTCTGACCCCCCCCCTAGGTGCGTGACGTCATTTATGGACGGCCCCCAACATCAGTGACAATTATCTGAACGCCCCTAGGTCGACTCAGCCTCAAATGGTTACCTGGTGCGATGTGTAAACATCGCCATTGGGTGGGGGAGGGAGACAAAGGGGGCCGGGCGTGGTGCTGTACCCCCCCCCTCGTGTGCCGTGCCGGCATTCACAGATGCTACTCGCAAACAGCACTTGCCCCAAACCGTCCGTTAAGGGGATCTTTGTCTTTGTCCAGCTTGACACGCCTGGTGCGGTTTGCAGTTTGCCTCTCGTGGGATAACAGATGAAGGCGCGGTCCTGCAACTGCTGACTCGTGCCACTGCTGACAGAGAGGACCTCCGCGAGAGGGAGCTCGAGAGAGTTTCTCTAGAAGTTCTAGATTTGAAGCTTCTCTCTCGAGTCTAGAAGCTATTTTGCCCGTATCTACACTGGCCAGACGTCTTGGAAGAGGTGAAAGAAGTACCCACCCCATACCCCACCACACCATTTACACAGGGAGTGAGGATTAAGTAGGGATACACGTAGGTATAAAATAAAATAGATCACGACGTTTCGGGCGCAACACAAGCGTCTGTCATCAGGTGGGAAAAGCGTGGTCTGCTGCTGATGCAGACTGTTTTAAAATGTTTGAAATGGGTGTAGCCCAAGGGTCATAGAGAAGTGGCCGGGTCTAGTGATGTTAAAGTGAGAAATTAGCATGATGTTAAAGTGAGAAATTAGCATGTAACTGGGCACGGAAGTGGCTATGTTAATGTGAGAGATTAGCATGTTACTGGGCCAGCCATTTCTTTATGACCCTTGGGCTACACCCATTTCAAACCTTTCAAAGCAGTCTGCCTCAGCAGCAGACCATGCTTTCCTACCTGATTACGGACGCTTGTGTTGCGCCCGAAACGTCGTGATCTATTTTATTTTCTACCCACGTGACTTTACCTAAAGAACCAAAGAGTATGGATTCCTCCAATCACGAAAGCTTCAAACCAAGATTAGGTATTGGGATGTTGAAGGTGGGTGACGTGACCACCCACGTTTGACCCCAACGCACGAATTACAGCCGTCTCGGTGACCTGAACAATATTTTACCTCCCAGTGCAACGCATCCAGTAGACACCGCTCGCTACGCTGCCGTGGCTGCGACTCCACAGTCTGGCAGCGAGCCCGAGCAGTAAATCAGCGAGTTATTAAAGCCCTGACCACGAAGGACATGGCCGAGTGGGACTGAAACATATTTCGTGAGAAACGAAGCCCTGGCTACTGTACATCTAACCTGGGGTGCAGCCACGGTGTAAATGTTTGCACTTTGGATCTGAAATCGATTTTATCTCCAGGCGCGGAAGTTGGAATAATGGTACGGAATTTGCATCTTTATTTCGACTGGAGGAATCCGATGAGCTATGAAGTTCTTTCTCACAGTTAAACGTTTCTTAAATATCCACTATCACGTTTGTCCACTCAGCAGTGAACACATTCCTGCGGAGGGAGCTGGTAGGAACGTTGGGTTTCTCGGTCAATGCCAGGGTCAACGGCGGCGTGGTGTATTCCGCAAATATGCCCGACTGTGAGAGCGGGCACAAGCCGGCGTGAGTAGGTTAAACGTTGAGTTTCATAAGGGCACCACGGGGTGACCAGCCCCTCCCCCACCCAGCCCCTCCCCACCCAGCCCCCACCCAGCCCCACGCTCCCCACCCAGCCCCTTCCCAACCTCCCCAACCAGCTGCCCCCCACACTCCCCTCCCAACCCAGCCCCTCCCTCCCAACCCAGCCCCTCCCTGCACGATGGACGGACGGACACAATAATCTCCTGTGGGCTGGTGTAACCAGAAGGGTTTCTACCAGTAAAATGTGTGCACCAAACGGCAAGTCGTGTGTGGTGAGGTAAAGTGTGGGTACCCCCCTCCCCTCTTCCTTCCTATTCCAAACGTTCTAGCCAGCATGGAAGAGTAGGCCAACTACATATAGCGCTCTTCCAAACGTTTTAGCCAGCATGGAAGAGTAGGCCAACTCCACATGGCGCTCTTCCAAATGTTCTAGCCAGCATGGAAGAGTAGGCCAACTCCACATGGCACTCTTCCAAACGTTCTAGCCAGCATGGAAGAGTAGGCCAACTCCATATAGCGCTCTTCCAGACGTTCTAGCCAGTATGGAAGAGTAGGCCAACTCCACATAGCGGAGGCCCTTCCGCCAGCACGTGCCCCGAGTCAGCGGCTTGCAGGGCTGCGCCTTTATCTCTCGTCTCGTCACCCCCCGCTGCTGCAGGTGGCCGACGAGCTGAGCGGGTATGAGCGCGCCTCTCTCCCGGGGGGCCGCCGCGTCCGCCCGAGGGCCGACGGGGACAGTTTGGGGGGCCCGCGTGCCGACGACGCCGTGCGGCTTCGACCCCGTCCCCGTCACGGGAGCAGGGTGGTGAGCCGGGAGGCGCAGCTGGAGGCGGGCGACGCGCGCTACCCGGTGATCGTGTGGTGGACGCCGCTGACGGGCGAGGCGGGCAAGCTGGCGCGCTGTCCCGGCGTGCCTGGCGAATGTTTCTTCACGGTGGACCGCTCGTACCGGCGGCACTCCATGGCCCGGGCCTTCCTCTTCTACGGTACCGAATTGTCTTCGTATTATTTTTGGATTTTAGAAAATTTCGCGTGAAATATAGAGAGGCGTTGGTAGTTCGAGGCGCTCTGTGACGTGGCGAGATGTTAGCTACCTCGCCGGGTGTACGGGAGGTTCGTGGGTTCGATCCCGACGCTGACTCCTGCTGCACATGTGGAGTTTACGGTGTCTCTCTCCACGTGTTCGCGTGGATTTTTTCTTCGGGCCGTCCGGTTTTCCCTCTCCAAATTTAGAATCAACGTCACGCGTTTAAAGTCTTTGGCTCATGTAAATGTCCACGTGCTAAGCCACTTCGTTGGGCTATTATTTGTGACCGCCAGGTCGCTTCTGAAAAAGAGCTGGTGAATATTTTTGTTCGTAGTTTGCAGAGTTTATAACGTAGTTTAAAAGTGGCAACAAAAGGCGAGTGATTTCGATGGCAAAGGGTGCGTGCAAGGGCCCAGGAATGAGCGACTGCAACAGAGGGCACGTGGTGGGGTTTGGAGGTCATACAGGACGGAGGGGTGAGGGGAGGGAAGAGGAAGGGAGTTGGCAAATGGAAAAGAGGTGAGGCTGTGAGAGAGGAGCGGACGAGGTCAAGGAGTGGGACGGCTTAATGTGCAGGGGAAGTTTATTCCAGTGGTAGGGTGCGCAGGTTAAGGTGCAGCCCTGCAATTGCTTGCTCACGTGACTGCTGGTGGAAGGTCCTCCGCTAGACAGGAGCTCTACAGAGCCTCTCTACAAGGTATGTTGTCCTATTCTTAGGTTTTTTCGGTAAAGTCACGTAGGTAAAAAAACAATATATATACAAGGACTGTTTTCTTGGAATTTCTCTTACTTGATACAGCTATCGTGCTGTGACGGTTCCACCTGAAGACGGAAGCTTGTGTTGCCTCCGAAACGTCGTGATTTTTATTTTACTTTTATTTTACTTTATTAATTTTTATTTTTACCTACGTGACTTTACCAAAAAAACCTAAGAATATGAATCCTTGCAGTCACGAAAGCTTCAAATCTAGAAGTATGTTGTCCTGCCGATGCTCGCTGGCCAGACATCTTAGTGGAGGTGGAAGTATCCACACTTTACCCCACTACAAGCAACCTGCCGATTGACTTCACTGCTGGAGAGAAGTTGTTGGGTGGGATTCAAATAACTTGCACCGTCGTTTCAACTGCCACGCCAGGAGATGTTTTCGAAACAGCTACCTCTGAATTGCAGGTCCAGTTTTGCTCTCCATTGCACCATGGTAACAATCAACATCATCATCATCATTGTCACCATCCTCACTTAATATTTCGGACTCTCAATAATTCCTCCAAGTGGAGGCCCTTCTGCCAGCAGTGACGTGGGGGGAGGATATTGCAGGGCTGAACCTTTACCTATCAAAAAAATCATGACATTAATAAAAAAACCCTATTTAGTTATTTTACTTTAGAAGGATTCCTCAAGAATTGTGGGGGACTGAACAAATGCCTAATTTGATAATTGTTTTTTTACCCTTTTATCTGGCAAGAAAACTGACACCTTTTTTTACGAGGAGTCATGTTTGCATAGACCACAATACCTGCAGTCATAATGCAAACAAAAAACATAACTCTGATAATGTATGCACTGTCCTTGAAGTTGATTGGTCCACACCCGAGACAGCTTTCCTTAGAGCCTAGTCTCACATGGGTTGGACCAGATGACGCCAAAAGGCGCACAACTCAAAGACAATGCACCATCAGAGTATGAGAGCTCGGGGTAAGCATTTACACCATCGGTACCTCTTTTTTGTTTGCATTATGACTGCAGGTATTGTGGTCTATGCAAACATGACTCCTCGTAAAAAAAAAAGTGTCAGTTTTGTTGCCAGATAAAAGGGTAATAAAACAATTATCATATTTTTTTACTGGCAAATGCCTAATTTGTCTGTCTTACCACGAAATCTGGCGCTGTCACCCACCCCCTCTAACACCTCCCCCCCGCACCCAAGGCACGGACTTCAGTGCTTGGGACCTCCCCCTGCCGCGCCAGCGCTCTCACGACTGGGCCCTGTTCCACGAGGAGTCGCCCAAGAACAACTACGTGCTCTTCTGGCCACAGACGGCCGCCCTCTTCAACCACACGGCGACGTTCAGCCGCCGCTCCGACCTGCCGCTCACGCTGCAGTTCGTGGAGAGCGCCAAGGCGCTGCTGTCGCGTCGCCTGCTGGTCGGCGCGGCCAAGAAGAGCCGGCTGCGGCGACCGGCGCCCTCGGGCCGGGGCCTGGCGGCCGTGGCGTACGTGCAGTCGGACTGCGAGCCGCCGTCGGACCGCGACGAGTTTGTGCGTGAGCTCTCGGCGTACATGGACGTCGACTCGTACGGGCGCTGCCTCCACAACCGAGACCTGCCTGGCCCGCTCACCGGTGAGCAGCGGGAGAAGCATCCGCACTGTGCGAGGGGGCAACGCTATATCCCCACACAGTGGGGGAGGCGCACTTGCTTTCAGGCACGCTTCTGCGGCTGTCCGGAACGCTCTTCCTTCTGATATTAGGAAGCCACTGCAGTTATGCACTTTTAAATGATCTATATTGAAAACTCATTTCTTTAGTGAGTTTGTTGTCCTACCGCCACACCACCGATTAGCACGGTTCACTGCGTATGTACGTGATGTTAATTCACATTTTTGCTGTAACCACCATCTCCTGGTGAGCTGGGGGTATGGCACCTCCTCGACCAGGGGTCGGAAACCTTTCAAAGGTGTAGAGGAGTCATTGTTTATGCTTTTGTCTTTGACCACACGCAGAACTACGTATACACAAACACAGACACAGCAGCAAGTATACAGCAGATGACAAACATATTCTGACTTAAATGAACAAAAAGAGGTGATTGAATAAACTGCGTCTATTTAAATTTCGATTTAAAGCTTTCGTGACTGCAGGGATTCATCTTCTTGGTTCTTTCGGTAGAGTCACGTAGAATGGAATTATTTTATTATGTTTTATTTTTATTATTTTATTATTTCCATTCTACGTGACTTTACCGAAAGAACCAAGAAGATGCGTCTATTTAGTTCCCCCCTCCCCACCCCCTTAGTTATCCTTTAATAACACAGTTTGACTGTTGTACATTTCGTCGTCACCAAGACATTACATAGTGACCCAGTCACTGTCATATTGAATACATCATCTCTACATTTTATTACGTTTAAGATTTAAGGTAGTTTTTTCTATTTTCAAACGGCTGCTCGCAAGGGGTCAGCCAAAGAGTCACGTGGGGCTCTGGAGTTGCAGGTTGCCTGCTCCTGTCCTCGATGCTCATGGGTAGAAGGGAGTTTAACGACAGCTGAGCGGAGCGTGGCGATCCGCCAACCGCTCGCTGCTGCTGCTACCTTCACAGTGCTGCCACCACCACCACCGCCACCAACCACCACCACCACCACCACCGTCACCACCACCACCACCACCGTCACCACCGCCACCAACCACCACCGCCACCACCACCACCACCACCGCCACCACCGTCACCGCCACCACCACCGCCACCATCGCCACCACCGCCACCAACCACCACCGCCACCACCGTCACCACCACCACCACCGCCACCAACCACCACCAACCACCACCGCCACCACCGTCACCGCCACCCGCCCTTGTGCTTGCTTCACACAGACCCGTCGGCGATGGAGGCGGAGGGGTTCCTGTCGCTGCTGTCGAGCTACAAGTTCGTGCTGGCGCTTGAGAACGCGCTGTGCGACGACTACGTCACGGAGAAGCTGTGGCGGCCGCTGGCGGTGGGCGCCGTCCCCGTGTACCGCGGCTCGGCCAGCGTGCGCGACTGGCTGCCCGACCCCGAGCGCTCCGCCGTCATCGTCAGCGACTTCCCCTCGCCCAAGGTTCCTCGCCGCGTCTCCGTGATCGGCCGTCGGCCGCTCCTCCAGAGTTGGTTCCTTGTTTGGCGCCGGCGGTAGATTGCGTTCCTGAAAGGTGCCGCGTCGAGCGGTGACCGTGTCAAGCGGACCATTGCTCTGGGTATACAGCAAAAACTTGGATTGCGAGCATAATTCGTTCCAGAAACGTGTTTGTAATCCAAAGCACTCGTATATCAGTTGTGATCACGTGACGCTTGGCAGACAAAGCGTATACACGTACTACTCGTATTGCAAGACCTCGTTCGTTTATCAAAAGAATATTTATTTAAATTTTTTGCTCGTCTTGCAAAACACTCGCAGACCAAGTTACTCGCAATCCAAGGTTTCACTGTGTACATTGCAGGGCACAAGTGAATACAAAACGTTGCAAATGTTGTAAATGACATTTGGACGGTAAAATTTGCCTGTAGTCGTCCCATTGCAGTACAAAGAACTGAGGTGAGGGTAAGCCCCCGTGTACTGTATCATACCGTATACTGTATCATACCGTATACTGTATCGTACCGCTCAGTTTCGCAGCTCAAGAAAGTAGTTTAGAGTCGACCGCTCACAAACCGCGTTATCACGGCGTGTGTGCTCCACGTTGTGCACAAAGTGTCCCCCAATAGAAGAAGCGCATCACAGCGAAGACGCGTTGCAGCGTGAACACCGCCACGCGTTCAGAGCGAGCGCTTGCCCAATGTAATAACCCTACGATACGGGCGGTCAACCTTGACCGAGGGTCACGTCTGGCCTTCCCGTACCTTTGTCGGGCCACACATTCGTTGATCTCAACCCGTTGGTCGCACGAGGACTGTGGGCATCGAGACTCCCAGAGCCTGCCACGGGTCGACGTGAACCCATTGCGTGCAACACGTACGGACCAAGCGATGGCTCACGCGCTCAATATGATGAGTGCGTCGTGAATACTTAGGAATTGAATTTCAGTGGGGGTTCATCTACGGCTCGTTCCAGGTTATTAGTACTCTCGCACGCGTCACGGGAGCGCGGACTCTTTCGCCGGACGGTGGTAGCGCTTAAATTGTAATCCGTCACTGGACGGTTTCAGCTGTTGCCGATACCGCCGGCTGTGCTGCCGCTGACAACGGGTCAACTACGACCACACCACTCACTCCCCTCGCCATCTCCTCTTACTCCGACCCGCAGGAGCTGGCCTCGTTCCTGCTGTCGCTGGACGCCGACGACGCCCTGTACGACGACTACCGGCGCTGGAAGCTGGAGGGCCGCGTGCGGAACGCGCGGCTCCTGACGGCGCTCAGCCGGCGGTCGTGGGGCGTCAACGACCCGGCACAGGACAACTTCATCGACGCGTTCGAGTGCGCCGTGTGCGCCCGTGTCTGGGAGAACGAGGAGCGCCATCAGCAGGTGGGCGGCGATGGATACACTTTTAAATCATCTAAATTGCAACCTCCTTTCTTTAGAACTGCTTTTTGTGTTTAGTTTGTTGTCCTTCCCCCGCACCTCCAATTTGAGCGATTGGTTATGTACAGTGCGAAAAAGTTCAACAAACATAGGCACATTTTGTTTAACCAGGTAGGAACTCAAGAGACCAGGATAGTCTCAATTCCAAGAGTGACTTAGGTCACCAAAATAACAAAAGTTAATAAAAAAAAAGGAACAGCAATAAAGCAAATAACAATTGAGTCGCATATATGGGCTGATCTTCCATGCTGGCTGGACTTCTGTGAATACATGGAAGTACCCACAATTTACACCACGACACACGACTTCAGGGGTAGCTCCATGGTGAATATCTAAAATGCTAATGTCACGTAGAAGGGAAATAATAAAACAATATGAATACAAAACAATAAAAATCATCACGACGTTTCGACTGCAACACAAGCAATCATCATCAGGTGTGAAATCCACAGCAAGAAAAAATTATTGCTGTGGATTTCACACCTGATGCTGTGGATTTCACACCTGATGATGATTGCTTGTGTTGCAGTCGAAACGTCGTGAGAATTTTTATTGTTTAATTTTTATATTATTTTATTATTTCCCTTCAACGTGACTTTACCGAACAAACCAAGAATATGAATCCCTGCAGTCACGAAAGCTTTAAATCAAAATCTAAAATGCTGTTGCCTCTAAATGATCTAATTGGGCAGTGGTGTTGCTATGTGGTTCATGGTGTGAAAACACAGACTCACATTGAGATTCATAGACTTAAAAAGGAGACCCGTAGATTGGTGACGACCAAAATGTCATCATCGGTCATGTTAGATCTGCTGCTGGGCAAACTCCTGCCCAACATGTACACACCGCAGTAAACATTTTTACATCACCACGAATGTGCTAGATGATTATTTGATAAATGAATGAACGAACAGGCGAACTAATATCTGCAATGAATTAACGTACGCAGGGTCTGCTAGATGATTATTTGATAAATGAATGAACGAACAGGTGAACCAATATCTGCAATGAATGAACGCACGCAGGGTCTGCTAGATGATTATTTGATAAATGAATGAACGAACAGGCGAACCAATATCTGCAATGAATGAATGAACGCACGCAGGGTCTGATAGATGATTATTTGATAAATGAATGAACGAACAGGCGAACCAATATCTGCAATGAATGAACGCACGCAGGGTCTGCTAGATGATTATTTGATAAATGAATGAACGAACAGGCGAACTAATATCTGCAATGAATTAACGTACGCAGGGTCTGCTAGATGATTATTTGATAAATGAATGAACGAACAGGTGAACCAATATCTGCAATGAATGAACGCACGCAGGGTCTGCTAGATGATTATTTGATAAATGAATGAACGAACAGGCGAACCAATATCTGCAATGAATGAATGAACGCACGCAGGGTCTGATAGATGATTATTTGATAAATGAATGAACGAACAGGCGAACCAATATCTGCAATGAATGAACGCACGCAGGGTCTGCTAGATGATTATTTGATAAATGAATGAACGAACAGGCGAACCAATATCTGCAATGAATGAATGAACGCACGCAGGGTCTGATAGATGATTATTTGATAAATGAATGAACGAACAGGCGAACCAATATCTGCAATGAATGGATGAACGCAGGGTCTGCCGAGGCGCCAGTGGAACGCTGACCCCGCTGCCCTCAGCTGCCCAGCGCCAGCGCCGTTCCGCCCGGCATTCTCCAAGCCCGGAGGAGCGGCGGCGGCGGCGGGGGCGGAGGCACGGGTCCGGCGGGGCGGCCGTCGACGCTCGGCTGCTCCACCCCAGGCGGGCTCCATCGTGCGGGAATTCTGGCTGCCGATGCACCGTCAGTCGGAGAGGGAGGCGGAGGCCCTGCACGCGCTGGTGCTGCACAACCGCAACTACACGGAGGCGCAGTTCTACGCTCGGGCGATGCGCGGCAAGGTCTGACTGCGTCCGTCTCGACGAGGTGTTTCTTCTTGCTGGGGCCTGTGGACCCCGCTCAGCCGGTGCAAACATTTCTCACAGGGCTCGATTCTGACAAACAGACGCAGAAGGTCTTTAGAAGTGATTGTTGCGTTTAGTTTGTTGTCCTTCCCCTCCCCCCCTGAGCCTCCGATTAGCACGGTTGGCTACGTACGCTGCGGAAGAAGTTCAACATACGTGCACAAACGTGGACTATTAGCCCCTGAGCCCTGGTGACAAAACACATTCACTCGTCTCTCTCAATACCACTCATACTGAATGATTCGTTTTACCGGAGCATTTTTTTTTTTACCGCAGCTATAAGGTTTTTTTTTGGGGTGGAAATTTATATCTCAGGGTGAAAGTCGTTTAATCAGCGGAGTTTATCATGAGTAAAATATCAATGAATGTTTGAAACAACAAGTTATTATTGTCAACCTGCATTTGCATCATAGTTCTACAGACCACCTGGAAGACCGTCATGGAGCACTGGTGGTCTGGGGATCACACTCTAAGCACCACTGTGGCAGAGATACCTCACTGAGAACCACTGAGCTAGAGAGACCACACTGAGAACCACTGCGCTATAGAGACCACACTGAGAACCACTGCGCTAGATATTCCAAGGTTCTCGTTGCCGAGTTGAGCGGGCGACGTCCCATCGCCTCCCGCTGTGGGCATGCCACGGTTGGTTCCATCGTGCGGTGGGGTAAAGTGTGGGCGCCCCCACCGCTTTCAAGAAGTGTGGCCAGCGCCGATGAGTAGATCTAAGCGTCCTCTGCAGGGCTTCTCTAGAGATCCGCTTAGAAGTGGCATGAGCAAGCAGGCTGCACAGTTAACAAAGTGGCACTTTGGCAGAGATTCATGTGTACTCTTGGTTTTTTCGGTAAAGTCACGTAGGTAAAAAATTTATAAAAATAAAATAATAAAAATTACGACGTTTCGGAGGCAACACAAGTCTCCGTCATTAGGTGGGACCGTCACAGCCAGATTTGCTGTATCAAGTGAGGCAGGGATTCCAAGATGCAAGATCTTAAATACAAGTTAAGGGGGAAAAAAAAGAGATTCATGTGGTTGGCTCGGGGTTGTTGATGCACGCGATGTGTTGATGTGTCATGATCATCATCACGATCACCACCATCATCCGTGGTTTGCGTACACAATCTTTTCTTTAAAGATCTGTGTGCGCTGACTTTATGTAACCGTGTAAATATGTTTTTACGGCATATTTTATGTTTAACCTGATCGTTAACTACTTAAACGTTTTCTAAGTGAAGCTTTATTTTACTATTCACACTCTGCAGGCAATGTTTCAACATATATTTGTAATGATTAAAACATTCCAGTGTGTATATATTTTTTACAGATTGTATAAAAGTACAAGATATTAGGTGAAAATAGTAAAATGTAAATGACTTCTGTTGAACATGGTATGCAAACTTATACGCAAATTTGCAATATCTCTAAGAGCTATATCAAGAGTATTGAGAACTTTATATTAAACACTATGCATTTGCACTTACTTAAAAGTACATTAATTACTAATCATTTATAGGCCTTTGTTGATTCACTGCTGGATAAAGGCCTTTCCATGCTATATCGTAAATGAGGAGGTTGTTTGTCCATTTTTCACCATAATGGCCAGTGCGGTTTGGTGATGATGGATTATGGAGAAAGCATGGGTGGAAAAAACCCGATTTTTCCAGCGGCAGGCATCTGTTTTTTTCATTAATACAATTAAACCCGATTTCGGGGAATTAAAACCTGGTTTGATGAATACAAAACTCTGATCCAAGGCTTAGGCTGCTTCCTCGTCGGTGCTGCTATCGTACTCGGGGCCGTCGGGCACGGAGTAGTCGTAGAATGCGGCGGGCAGGTTGGTCGTGATGAACACGAGCTTCTCCTCCACAATCGTGGGCGCCTGTGAGTTCCTTAGCTTGGAATGGATGAAGCTCATCGTTGAGAAGTGCGGTTCTGCAATTAGAACCAATGAAACCGGATTTCTCCCAATCTCAGATTATCGGGTTTAATATAAAAAGACAATTAAACCCGATTGTAAAAAACCCGACTGTGCCACCCTTGGGAGAAAGTAGTTCTCTCATTCTCACTCGCCGCTAGTTGTGGACGGGAATCGAACTTAGGTCGTCGGGTTCATAGTGCAGTGAAATCTCAACTAAACAAATGTTTTTTTACCAGGTAAGGGCCACTGAGCTATTTAGCTCTTTTTGAGAAGCGACGTGGCCCCAAATGACAGCTCAATGAAGTGGCTTATCACTTGGAAATGTTTTGCAGTAGCCAAACACTCTAAACACATGTTGATTCTAAATGTAGAGGGAAAAATCGGAGGACCCGGAGAAAAATCCATGGAGAGAACATGCAAACTCCAAATATACAACAGGTGTCAGGGTCGTGATCGAACCCACGACCTCCTGTAGACCCGGCGAGGTAGTTAACATCTCCTAGCCACCGCGGTACCCCGTATCGATATGTCAACCGATATTCTGACACCTGTCCACCCACCATCCCCATTGTGGTGAAGTATGATCAAACAGCCTCCACGACTGTTATGGCATGGGGGAAACTTTCATCGTATCCCTTCAACAACCGCTGCCAATTCTATTCTTTTGTATGACGATGTCGGTAGCAATACGTTCAGGATCTAGATGCCCAATGTCGAGGTCTGCTGGCTGCGACGAGAAGGCTTCAGGAGAGAGTTCGTGTACAACCCCTACCAATAGTGCCCTCACAGTGTTGTATAGTTATGCCATAACTACTCTTAGGCTAAATTTCGATTTAAAGCTTTCGTGACTGCAGGGATTCATCTTCTTGGTTCTTTCGGTAAAGTCACGTAGAAGGGAAGTAAAAAATAATAAAAATAAAACATAATAAAATAATTCTCACGACGTTTCGGCCACAACACAAGCAGCCGTCCTCAGGTGAAGACCAGGTCTGTCGAGGCGACAGCGTCTAAAAGAAGATACTCTTAGGCTTTTTCGGTAAAGTCACGTCGGTAAAAAATAAGAATAAAATTAATAGAAGTAATAATATAAATAAATTATTACTTCTTTTATTTTTATTTTTTACCTACGTGACTTTACCGAAAAAGCCTAAAAGTATGAATCCTTGCAGTCACGAAAGCTTCCAATCTAGAATGATGCCATAACTATTTATAATTGGCCGATGGCGCCATCATATACAGAGGATCGCAGAGCTCGGGCGATTGTTGGTGCCGGCTCGCCGCGTGTAAGCTGCTGCTGCTGCTGCCTTCCCCGCCTGTCTGTGGTTCATGTCTCTCTAGGAGAGCGAGTGACCACTTACAAGGCGAACTTGTCATTATTATGATTTGCTCCGTGTTAATTTCAGTCAATGGCGCAGCTATGGAGTGGGCAGATTGCACTACGTTAATTTGCACCATTGGAACCTCATTTTCCAGTAAAAATATGATAATTGTTTTTTTTACCCTTCTATCTGGCAACAAAACTGACACCTTGTTTTTACAAGGAGTCATGTTTAGATAGACCTAGTCTCACATGGGTGAGACGTCCAACGACTCTAAGGAAATCTGTCTCGGGTGTGGACCAATCAACTTCAAGGACAGTGCACATTCTCAGAGTTATGTTTTTTGTTTGCATTATGACTGCAGGTATTGTGGTCTATGTAAACATGACTCCTTGTAAAAACAAGGTGTCAGTTTTGTTGCCAGATAGAAGGGTAAAAAAACAATTATCATACGTTAATTTGATTAATATACACAGCCACTTGAAATGCAACGATGTACACTCGCTCACTCGATAGCACTGTATAAAGACTTCCTTTGACATTGTCCGGGTGTTTACCCTCCACGGGTTTCTGGGTTCGTTTTCGAACATTCCTTTTGCTGGGTTTACAATTTTGTTTTTTTTTTTAATCTCAAACGAGTGATGTTCAAGTGATTAAACTGTTTGTAAAGTCGATGGAATGGATTAAACAAAAGGTTACGTCCTTCCGAAAAAAAACATGTCCTGCTAGTCAGCAGTATAAAACTCTGTACGTTGACATATTGTCGATTAAATTAATTTAGGATGCAGCGAATACACTTCAGGTCGCAGTGAGCGACACGTGACAGATTACGTCCGATGGCAGACACTTGCAATTAACTGTGAGACAGTTGTAATGAGCAATATGTACAATCTTTGACAGTTACAATCACAGTCGACATCAGTATAATAGTGCCTGTTACAGCAAGCAATTCTACATTAGAAAATCGTAGCAGCTACGATACCTATTCACGTTTGATTCAAATTAGTCGAGTCATTGTCTGTTGTTGCGTCTTCATGGAGACCCAGCGATTGTGCAGTGCGTGTTTACGAGCAATTGATGTCCACCTGAATGTATCACGGGCTTCCGGGGGGGGGGGGGGTCACCCACTACTGCCTTGTGAGCCCAGCCATAAATGCTGTTACGTGGAGTATTTCCATGTTCAACGTGCCTTACATGCTGACGCTGCCATTCGTGAGCGTGTGTCTATGTACCGTCAAGCTCCTCATATCCAAGCCCTCTCTTAGCCGTGCTTTCCATTCATGACTTGTGCAGCCCGATCGAACCGCACTTTGCTCCGGGTTGCCACCTGTCCCGGTTCTCCCGGGACCGTTCTCTGGCTGACGTAGCAGTCCTGGAAAATCTATCCCAAGTCCTCCCGGGGCATCGAAAGACACAGCTTGTGTCAGTTGCATATTAATGATGATTTACCACTCGCACGGAATGTGTTATCCTGTGGTGGTATTGTGAGATATTCTTATTCTTCTTCCGATGATGTGCCCCGATTGCTTTTTTGTAACTTAGAGGCGGCAAATGTAACGTTCCGCTATGTTTGCGACGTGTGTGCGGATATGAGGGAGTGACTCAGGAGTTCTGACAAACCATTTATCTAGGAGAAAGTGATTCGGAAAGCAGTGGCACATCAATCAAGTGTGTAGGCGCGGTGCGACTGCTGGAAGGTTTTAGGGGCTGTAGAAACCCAGGCTGTGGGCCACTTGGAAAAAGCAGGGAAACATTGGACGGGGAAGGGAGGGGGGTCTCATTTAATTCCTTGCACCAGGGCCCACGCCACGGTGGAGGGATGTAAACTACCTCGCCTGGTTTACAGGAGGTCGTGGGTTCGATCCCGATCCTGACGCCTGCTGCTGTATATTTGGAGTCTGCGTGTCTCTCTCCCCGTGGTCGCGTGGATTTTTCGCCGGGTCCTCTGGTTTTTTTCCTCATTTACAATCAACGCCACCCAATTGGAGTATTTGGCTATTCCTATAAATTTTCACGCGATATTTTACTTCGTTGAGCGATCATTTATGATAGCCAGGTTGCTGCTGAGTGGGCCTTACCTGGTAAAATAAAAGTTTAGTTGAGATTGTCCATTAACCTATAGTCTTTGGCACGGATAAGAGGGAGTCACGTGGACGTGGTGGCAAATGATTCCTATCATCCACAGCTCTCTGATGTTGTGTTCGGTTCGCAGCCCCGCAGCGTCGTTTGGCAATGACGTCCGATGTTTCGCTTTAAGTGCCGGGGAGCGAAACGTCAAAACGCGACCGGACCGACACGCGGTACAACCCAAAGGCAGACACAGACACACACAAGGGGAACTCTACGCAGCCACCTGAAAAAAATGTAGGCAGCGGTCCATCGCCCCGTCATCCATTTGTATCCATCACTCGGACACTGCGGGGGCTAATTTGCGTGAATGAACACAAATAGCGCTTCAACATCGGAGCAGTTAAGGCGAGTTTTTGCTGTTTCGCAAAAAATGCAGGTTGTCTTCGAATGTTCTCCTGCGTATAGATAGATATTATTATATCAAACTGTATACATGTTGGCATATGCCTTGATTGTTGTTGTTAAAGGCCTGCGTGGGGACCATTGGATATGACAAAGATATGTTGTACCTAGTAGTAGGTTTTTACCCTTTAAACTGGTACAAAACTGACACCTTTATACAAGGCATCATGTTTGCAATAACCACAACACAAGTAGTCAAAATGCAAACAAAAATAAACAACTCTGATAATCATAATGAGTTGTACGCCTTTTGGTGTCATCTGGTCCAACACCAATGAAGACGAGGCTCTAAGGAAAGCTGTCTCGGGTGTGGACCAATCAACTTCAAGGACAGTGCATATTATTATCATTATCAGAGTTGTTTCTTTTTGTTTGCATTTTAACTACTTGTGTTGTGGTTATTGCAAACATGATGCCTTGTATAAAGGTGTCAGTTTTGTACCAGTTGAAAGGGTAAAAACCTACTACTATATTTTGCCACTGGTAAAGGAGGTCTCATAGTATATGTTGTACCTGTCTGAAAGTGTGCGTTGTCACGCCCTTGCCTATCATTCTAATAAACCGTTCGACAAGAGAACATATCTCCCGGTGTATTTTTATTGTTGTCAAATGCGGCTTTTGAAGGACTGCTTCGTGACTTTATTGATTAGAGACGACCGTCTCGTATTCATATCCATTGTGGCTCTTGGAATACTGCTTTTTTTAAATCTAATAAAAAATGTCTCTTCTTGTTATTTTGGTTTCCGAACCTTGTGATCGAGTATATATTTTAGTGGTTATAAACACATTCCTTCTGCAGTCTAACACATTCCTGCGGAGGGAGCTGGTAGGAACGTTGGGTTGCTCGGTCAATGGCCAGGGTCAACGGTGGCGTGGTGTATTCCGCAAATATGCCCGACTGTGAGGGCGGGCACAAGCCGGCGTGAGTAGGTTAAACGTTGAGTTTTATAAGGGCACCACGGGGTGACAGTCCCTCTCCACCCACCCAGCCCCACCCTTTCCACCCAGCCCCTCCCCACCCTCCCCACCCAGCCCCTCCCCATTCTCCCCACCCATCCCTCCCCACCCAGCCCCACTCTCCCCACCCAGCCCCTCCCCACCCAGCCCCTCCCCACCCTTCCCTCCCCACCCAGCCCCTCCCCACCCTCCCCACCCAGCCCCTTTCTTCCCACCCAGCCCCTCCCTGCACGACGGACGGACACAATACTCCCTTGTGGGCTGGTGTAACCAGGGGGTTCCTACCAGTACAATGCATATATTTAAGGATTCATTAAGATTTGTGATGGGGTTTTTTCCCCACAATTGCATCCCGACTGCGCTGTCACGTCATGAGACGATGTCTCTAACAGAGTAGACAGGACAGAACTACTGCAGAGGTCCGTCACGTGACCTCTGGTCCACAACGTGGGGGGGTCAGCAAGGTTAATATAAAGCCTCAATACATGCGTAGAATATCGTGTCCAAGCTTAAAACGTCTTACAATTTACTGCCTCTGTTCTACGTATTAAAATCGCGTATTCCCCTCCGGCCGCTTAGGAACCGCTACACCAATGTTAGAAATGAAATCATGACGCTGAATCATGCCAATTTGTTGAATAGCGAGAGCAGTGAAGCATTTAAATTGAAGTTCAAATTTAATCAATCAATGTGTCAACCATATGACATGATAAATGTTGCTCTTCTGGAATTTGATATCAAAAAGGGTTAAGAACCACTGGTATGGACGGCTCAGAGACGTAAGCGCATGGGCTTGGGCAGGACCCAGTGGCGTAGTAACGACGTTATCAGCTAAGGGGTGCGGAAATGGGTCAGGTGGGGCCCCAATATTTGATTTGTCTCGCACGGTCGCACCTCGGCTTTATTGTATATTGTTGCTCCACTTGCCTAATCACATCGTTACGCTCACAGTCTCAAACATGTGTAGCGTCAGTGATTCGGAGACGAGGTTTGTCGGAGGCACCTTTTTTTAGAACATTCACGGTCTCGCCTGCACGCTCTCTACAGTCGCTTAGCCTGGCCTATACACAACACGAGCCGTCTAACACCGGCGGCGCAGACTGGGACAGCCAACAACTATCCGGCAGCGCAATATCTAGCGAAGACGGCAACGACGATGGCGGCGACGAGACGACAGCGACGACGAGACGAGTCCACTCCCAGAACCGGCAGCCTCGAGCCCCCCGCTCTCGGCTCCTTTTATGCTCCCAGCGTGGCCTGGCTCCGCCCTGACTGCGCCTACCTTCTCGAACCCGCCAGCAGGTTCCAGGTATCTTCCAGATGGGGTCCTCCGTGACCCTTGCCCCAGTTCCTCCGCTCTGCCAACACACCCCGTGCTCACGTTCACCGGCGTGTGCGCTGTCTGTCCACCACAGCTGCCGCTGCTGTCCATCAGCTGGCGCTATTACACTAGACTTGTGTAAAGACTGTGTCAGTAAGTCTCGAGGTGAAGACAGGGTTGTCAGCGAGGCTGGATGCAAAGACAAGGTGCCAGCAAGTCTGGAGGTTCTTGGTTGGAAAATTCCCCAGAGTGTCCAAAAGAGGCAGCCGGGGAAATTCCCCCGGAGAATCCACGAGGATAAAAGCAGGGCGATAAATGATGTTCGGGGTTTGTGGAGAGGGACTCGGGCCGTCGTCGCTGTCTTCACGTCATCACTGTCTACAAGTCATCACGGTCAGCTCGGTCATTCGATCTCCACGTCGGCATTATCTCATGACGACGGGGTCCTAAGCTATGTTACGTGAAATAAAATAAACCTCTAAAGTTCGAGTCATTACACATGTAATGCTGTAGAGGCTCTCCGCCTTCGCAAAATGTAGCCACTTCAGCTCCGTAGGAGTACTTCTGCAATACAATTGACACGTATCTAATTAAATATCCCAGAAACGGGAGTTCTATGCCCAATGTTATTTTCCTCAAGCTACTTACGTTTAAATTTTTTGGGCCTTTCGGTAAAGTCACGTAGATAGGTTGAAAGAAAATAACAAAAACGACGACGTTTCGATCGCAACACAAGCGATCGTCATCGGGACGATTTACGTGACTTTATCGAAAGACCCAAAGAATATGAATTGCTCTATCACGTCTCATTTTGATGCTATCGGCATACCCCATTTTCACTGATTTTACCCGAAATTAACTCTATCACTTATGATTGCAAGTTGTTGCGAGTCAATGACTGCTTTAGTGTTAAAATATGGTGCTGTATTTTTAGGATAGTGTGTTTATAATATCATTTTATGTAGATATCCACATTTATTTAATATTTATCTTCAGCAGTTTTTATTGAAAATGCAATATTTTATATCTCAAAAACCTGATGTGATAGACAAAAACTGATGCCAGATTTGGAATCAGCACCCCAAAATTACCTTAAAACCGTTTGAAAACCTTATGCTAGAAAAAGTGTGTTGACCAGTGTTATCTAATGATTATTCCACCCCCGCGCCCGAACGCTGACTTGGTACATTCCAACTGTGAGCCAATCACAATCCTTCTTGCTCCTCCCCCCTCCGTGTGTACGAGGAATGGTAGAGTCTCCCGTGAGGCCCCGCCCTGCGCGCTGATTGGTCGGTTCGTACCCCGCGTCGGTTTTTCCGCTTTTAAAAAATATCCCCTCAAGTTCACGAAATCCCAAACTCGACGGTAAAACATCACCAAATCTATCGATAAAACCATTAAACCAGCGCGCATTCAGCTTCAAACTCCGCGGCGCAGACGCACGGGTAAGAATTGCACTTTTACGCGGTGTTTTTTTTAATGTTTGCCGGCCTCTATCGATCACTGCAGCGCCTCGGACGAGCGAACGGCGTTCCGAGGGACGTCAAACGGAGGGAGACGGAGCGGTGAAATCCGGCGGATCGTCGTCTCGTACGTGGTGAAGTATGTGTCAGCAAGCCACTGTAACAGTGAACGGCGTGGGGATGCCTTCATCCAGCAGTGGATTCATCGCGGTTAACGATCGGCGATCAATATGTAGTAATATACGTTAACGCGTAGGCTTTAGCGAGCAATTTTAATCGAGGGGTTTGTGTTACATCGCGTAAGTATAAATGTGTCGTAACCTTGTTGGTTCTTTCGGTAAAGTAACGTAGACTGGAAATAATAAAAATAAAATATAATAAAATAAAAATAAAACATAATAAATAATAAAATACAATTCTCACGACGTTTTGGCCACAACGCAAGCAGCCGTCCTCAGCTGAAGAACAGGGAGGGAAATAATAAAATAATAAAAAATAAAATAAAGCATAATAAAATAAAATAAAACAATTAAATAAAATAATATAAAATAAAATTCTCACGACGTTTCGGCCACAACGCAAGCAGCCGTCCTCAGGTGAAGAACAGGTCTGTCGGAAAGACCGCGTCCCAATGAACACCACCAAGCTTGGCAGCGTATATTTAATCTGGGTTAAAGGAGGAGAGAGCCTTGACAAAGGAGTTGACATATCAACAGAGGAATTTAGCATATTTATGGGAAATGCAGATATGGGATTAGTCACTACTTGTGGAATGTGGAGGTGGTGGGGGGGGGGTCTCAAAGTCATATTATGCTCGTGTATTATGTAGGATTAGCAGTGATAAAGGGAGGAAGTAGGATTAGCAATAATAAAGGGAGGGAAATTTTAATAGTAAGGAGCTGCAGCAGCCAAACCACCACGTAAAAAATACCCTAAATATAAACTACATCAATATCAATATCATCAATATACTCTCCAATAAGCTGAGCTACTAACAATAACCCTCCACCACCCACTAACATTTGTTACTTAAACAGAACGTGCCAGTTAGTGGGCCTGACGTGGTAACTAATTGTCGCGTTCTGTGTACGTGACACATTTACACTTACGCGAACTAGTGATATATAATGCAGTTCTGTTTACGCCATTGACCAGAGTGGTGAAGTATGATGACATGAACCTCACCGTGCGTTTACAGGGAGGCCTCCATCCAGCAGTGGATTGACAAACATGCTGTTACGTACTGTCGTGACAAGTGTATTGAATTGTTGTGATTCGAACCGGAGTTGGGTAATGAAAGATCATCTAATCGAGAAGCAAGCTTCTAAGTCTTGTACACATGAGTTTGAGTCCCAGTCAGGGTCAACATAGCCATCATTATCGTTATCAGCTCTCCAGGATCAATAATAGAGACGCAAATCGATCAGACTGCACCACTTTTTTTTCGGGGCATACCGATTCAGAATTCTCAGCAGTCTCCAACTCTTATTATCCAGTATATCTCTCTGGTGCCTCTATGTGATTTGAAGGGGAGCCATTGCCCGAAACGTCGTCTGTAATATACTTTTCCTTTTTAAGGCTGCAGTGTTGTTGACAAACGTGTTGAGATGTTTTATTGTTTGGGCTTGTGCACCACTGCCAACGCAGCATCGCCAAGTGATGCCGCCAGTTATCGTTAAGTTCATAAAACATCACGCATCGAACCGCGTGTGGAACGAGAGTCGATTGTATTCGCTGACTTTGCCGCATGTCGTGTGGAAAGGTTTCACGTGACCCCACCAGCCACCAGAGGCCACTAAATTATCCACAAAGTGAACAAAATCGGTTATTCAATCGCGACCCAGAGTATTGACACCTGATCAGGCTAAGAGTAAATAGTTGGCTTGTATAGAACAGGAGTTGGCAACCAAAGTAACAAGAAGAGACATTTTTTTTTTTTATTCTGTAAAAAATAGCCGCGTTTGGTTCCGGAGCCACAGGTTTTAAACCCCTGGGATAGAACCAACTGCGAACTGGCCATGGAGACTTGTGTGTTTTTGTTTTCCTGTATTGGGAGAAACTAGTTTTAAACAGGGCTTCCCTGTAATCAGAACACATTGATCTCAACCCTTCAGCTCTCCGGGGTATACTCTGAAATAAGTGCACAACTTTATCTGTGATGAACGCTGCACTTTCCGTCATGAACGAGGGAGGCGCAGGGATAAACGTTCGATTACGTTGGAATCGATCTGCAGACGGCGGTCTTCTCGCACGGCCAGCTCTGTGTCGCTTTATCTCGATCCCGTAATCCCAAACAGGTGAAAGTCCGCATTGAACTGAACCCCCAGCAAGGCCATCTACTTAACGACGAGAGAAAATTCACACGAAATGTCGTTTTCAATTAAGTCTTCCAGGTATAAATGATATAAGCTTTTAATGAAGAAATACAATTATCTAATTCAAAACATAATACAATTCAAAGATGTTTCATTTTAAAACTTCAAAACGGAGCATCGGGTGCTTGCGTGAATGCGTCGCTCGTGTGCAATTTTTTTGTGACTTTCCCGGCCAAAGGCTGTAAATGGTTGTGAGGGGCGCCATAGGCGTCCCCGAACAACCCCGCGTATACAATGAGTACCAATTTCTGGGAAGGCCAAAGTGGTTGCTTTATGGTGTGTTTTGTCCCTGTCATGGGAATGTGGAATTTCAACCACTGGCTCAGGGCTGTAAATGAGAAATCATCACTTTACCCATCATTTGAGCATTTTGAGGTGTTGAGGTGGCCAGGAGATAGCAATGCAGCAATGGATGCTTGACTATCTGTGCAGGCCCTTCTAGTGTTATCGCCTCCTATGATGCGGTGGGTTTTCTCCAGGCACTCCGGCTTGCTCCCACATGAAGCAAAACGCATTAATGGCATTGTCCAAACATCCACAAAGTAGCGGACCAAAATAAGTTAAAATTGTAAAGGTTGCTAATAGCTGCATTCTTGTGAATCAACCAGGGCTGCAGAGCTGCTCCCACACCTCACTGCCCCGGGTCTCACTGCTGGAGCGACACGCGGCGGGACGACGCCATGACGGCCCAGGATGACTACGATGAGCTGCTCCGTCTCTACGAGCTCAGGGAGACCATCGGCTCAGGCAAGGCGACTGCTCCACGTGCTGCCTTTCTGCTCTTCCTGGCATTTTCCCCATTTGTACGGCGCCTGCCTTCCTCGTCCTATTCCCCCACTCATTCCTGTCCTAGGCCATTTCCACATTCACTCTAGAGGCCTTCATATCCTGGTTTACCACTTCCCATTCATGTGAGGTCTGCCTTCCCGGTCCTCTTGCTCATTCAGGAGTGCCACAGTGTTGAGATGTTAAATACCTTGCCAGGTATACAGGAGGTCGTGGTTCAATCCCACCCCTGATGCCTGTATATTTGGAGTTTGCGTGTTCTCTCTTCCTGTGGTTGTGTGGATTTTACTCCGGGTCCTCTGGTTTTTTCTTCCACATTTAGAACAATGCGTATTAAGCTACTATAAATTTCCACACGATAGACCACTTTGTTGAGCTATCATTTGTGGCCAGGTCGTTTCTGAAAAGAGCCATACAGCTCTGGGCCTTTCCTGGTAAAATAAATTTTTTGTTTGAAATGTTTAGTCATTCATTCCAGTCCTGGGCTACTCCGCACCCACTCAACAGTCTTTCATATCCTGGTTCACCATTTGCATCCACCTCTTTCGAGGCCTGCCACTCGCTCTCCACCCTGGTGCTTCCATGTTCATCACCTTTCTTCCCATGTGCTATTCCTGCAACAACCTTGCGCCCATCTACCCTTGCACATATTTTACTCACCTGCCCTCCTCCCTGTGTCTCCCGCACCAGCTACCAAGGCTAACTTAATGATGGAATGATTCACAGTCCCTGCGAGTCTATGAATCGCCACAATTCGGGATCACGGTTTGGGGTCACGGATGAGCACTTTTTTGGTACATTTTCAGGAATCCTCACGTTATTTTTGCCCCCCCTCTCCCGCTCACCCCTCTCCCCAGGTGGGTTTGCCAAGGTAAAGGTCGCGCGTCACCTGCTCACGGGGGAGAAGGTGGCCATCAAAATCATGGACAAGGCTGAGCTTGGGGTATGTGCGTGTGTATGTGTGTTTTGTTCTGCACTCAACACACCAGCGCTTTCCCTGAGAGTCATGCAATTGCATTCAACAACACTTGTTCAGTTTAAGTGGCGATGTAATGGTTAGCCTGCCGTACCACGATATGTGCGCCCTTCGTTTTGATTTCTGGCCATACCCGTCGGTTGTAATTGCAATCCCAACCAGGCCTGGGACTCCTGTAGGTCAACTCAGCTGGAATTGAGTACCAGCTGTTATGTGTCAACTTCAGCCCTGTGGAGATAAAGGGAGTGATTATGGCTATAATATTCCTTTTGTATGCAATCCTGACCATAATCTGGGTTCTCTAACAGTGCTTGCCCCTCGTGTCTACCATGCAAAATAAATGTTTAGGGTTAGTGTGTGTGAGCAAGATTGGCGTAGTGGTTCATGCGCTGTGCTACTGCACGATTTCAGTTATCACCCATGGGTAAAATTAGTGGCAACTGAACCGAACTTGTCCTGGTTCTCTCGTAGGTCGACTCAGCCTTAAATGAGTATCTGGTGGAGTGTGCAAACATCAGCACTGTGAAGACAAAGGTGGTTGGGCGTTGTGGTGGCCACTTTCTCGTCTAACATGGAAACTTCAACAGGTGCTTCTGAACAGCACTTGACTCCACAGTCTGTAATACTGCATGAGCAATCTGTGTGGGTGTGTTTGTGTGTTTGTGCAGGATGATTTGCCACGAGTGAAGACCGAGATAGAAGCCATGAAGAGCCTGAGCCACCAGCACGTGTGTCGTCTCTACCAGGTGATCGAGACAAAGACGAAAATCTTCATGGTGCTGGAGGTGAGAAACAGTCACCAGTAGTGAGTCACTGTCCACATCCCCTTCCAGAGAGAGTCCATTACTGATGATAATATGATAATATCCTAATTACCTGGGGGCTACAGTAAATAATGACAGCTTAAGCCCCCGCCCCTGACTCCACATGCCGCCCCCCCCCCCTGCATCCCTCCTCCCTTGCTCTTACCCTATATAATCGCTTGTCACATACAGCTCTCTCTGCCCACTACAGTAAAAATTTTTTGCTGGGGTTGTCCCACCTGATGACGGAAGCTTGTGTTGCCTCCGAAACGTCGTGATTTAGTTATTTTTTATTTTATTTTCACCTACGTGACTTTACCGAAAGAACCAAAGAGTATGGATCCTTGCAGTCACGAAAACTTCAAATCTAGGATGATAATGCCCTTCGTTTTCCCAGGAAAACCTCACTGAATGTCAAGGCTATGTCGGCAGGAAGGTGTGTTACATTGGGACGTTTGGCCAAATACATTAATGAGTGTTTGGCTTTGTGTGAGAAAAAGCCAGATAACCCAGAGCTATCTCAGCGAATGATGTAAAGAAGAGCTTCATCACTAACGAGGCTTGGTTAAAGTATTTTGCCCGTAGCTTCGCCAGGCGCAAAATTGCCAGAGAGTCTCACGGCGTGTGCCTGTCCCACAGTACTGCCCGGGCGGGGAGCTATTCGATTACATCATCGCGCGGGACCGCCTGCCCGAGGAGGAGGCACGTGTCTTCTTCCGGCAGATCGTGTCGGCCATCGCCTACGTCCACAGCCAGGGATTCGCACACCGTGACCTCAAGCCGGTGAGAGGCACACGAGGCTGTGTCGACTGGCCGCCTTAGTCCATCTGTCCATCAGAGGTCGCAACCGGGTACCCGATACCCGTACCCTACCCGATACCCGGCTACCCGTACCCGGCCGGGTACGGGTACCCGTTTGCGACCCTGGTGCGGCCGGGTACGGGTAGACCGTGAGTCACTGGTGAGTAACTGTTTGTCACTCATTTCCCAACGTCTTGTCTCTTCTCACAATTCAAGTTCCTAGAATCAACCCACCCGCACCTGCAACATGGCTTCATCCCAGAGGTCGCAATCAGGTACCCGATACCCGTACCCTACCCGTACCCGGCTGGGTACGGGTAGGGTACGGGTACGGCCAGGTATGGGTACGGGTACCCGTTTGCGACCCTGGTGCAGCCGGGTATGGGTACCGGTAAGGAATCAAAACCCGTTTGCGACCTCTGCCATCCATCCTTCTGCCTCTGTCTTTCTGTTCCTCATTCCGTGTCTTTCTGTTGCTGTCTCCTTTATTTTCCCTCTCCGTCCATTCTTCTTTGCTTGTGTCCTGCGGTATGGTCCTTCCATTCCACTGTGCCGTCCGCCAGTTTCTGTGTCCTTCCTGTCCTTTTTTGCACCCTTGGAAGTGAGCTGGTTCCATCTCTAAGTTGTAATAATCATAATAAGAACAAACTTTATATTCATCGTTCTGTCCTTTTCGCTCTTTAATCACTCTTCCACACGCAAGTGCATGGTCTTCCTAACTAGGCCGCTTGTTGAGCACATACCTTTTCCCAGTGGGCATCTTTAACTTTTAAAGATTCCTGCAGTGGTGCGTGGTGAAAGCTTGACAGAAGAATGCTCAACACGCAGCCTGACCTGGAAGACCACGCTTGGATCACGAGTGGCCATGGAAAAAAACAATGTGTGAGGATCACTCTCCCGCTTCGTAACTGCTGGACATCCGTGAAAAAGAGCTTCATAGCTCACTGATTTCTGACTGTGACTCCTCCTGCAGGAGAACCTCCTCATCGATGAGAACCACAACCTCAAGCTCATCGATTTCGGGCTCTGCGCTCGTCCCAAGGTGGGGGGGCGGAGGATACGTGGTGGGATGGGTAGGGGTCTCTTTATAGTGACGCAGTGGTTGTGTTGTTTATGTCTGTGTGCCGGTAGTGGCGTGATTGTGTCTTTTTGGTGGTGTGGTTGTGGCAGTGTTTTAGTGTGATAGATATCTGTAAAGCGTTCGTGGTGTTGTGGATCTTTGTTGTTGTTAGCTTGTGTTGTTTGTGCCTATATAGAGTGGTGGGGTGCATTTAATGTTGGCGTGGTTGTGTTCCGGTATATTAGTGGTGGTGCAGTTGTGTCTGTGCTGGTGGTGTATAACAGTGAAGCGAGCGGTTGCCTCTGAGAGTATAGCGGTGCGAGTGTTGGCCCGTGTGGCAACGTGTCCGTGTGTTGACACCAAGTTTAAAGCGTACGCTGCTGCGCTGGTGGAATGGCTGTGTTGGCATTGTGCGTCGCGGTTGCAGGGCGGGCTGGATTGCCACCTGGAGACCTGTTGCGGCAGCCCGGCGTACGCTGCACCAGAGCTCATCCAGGGAAAACCCTACTGTGGCTCGGAGGTACGAAACACGCGCACAACGATTTACGTCTCCCCCTTTCACGTCGTTTCACAAATGCAGTGCAGTCTGTTCTCCTGTAACGCGGTAGTTGTCTGTCTTCACCTGAGGACGGTTGCTTGCATTGTGGCCGAAACGTCGTGAGAATTATTTTATTATGTTTTATTTTTAAATCCTTTATATTAAGTTCGCTTGCTTGCTTAGGACCGTGCAAATCTTTCGGTCGTTTTTTAACCCACGTCCTGTGATCCAATCGAGCTGACATTTTCCACACAGACTCGTTGTGCGTGACAATTAATGTTCGTGAAAATTTTTTTCCAAAATTTTACATTTTTTAGGACAAAGATATTATATTTAATTACCAATTGCTTAATGGTGCAATGCAATCATCTGACCCATAGGTGGCAGCCATCTCAAGCCAGAGGACGAGAGGACTCTAGCCGCCACGCATATAAAGGATTTATAGTGAAAAACTTTGTTTTTACGGGTTATACTTATTATAATTTTATTACTTCCCTTCTACGTGACTTTACCGAAAGAACCAAGAAGATGAATCCCTGCAGTCACGAAAGCTTTAAATCGAAACTTCACCGTATCCTCCGTTGTCTTTGTTCATCGGTGCTCGCTAACAGCACTTGCCCCAAAATCTGTTAAGGCTTTCTGGGGGATCTTTGTCTTGCGCGTTTATGTGTGCGTCGTACAGGCGGACCTGTGGAGCATGGGTGTTCTGCTCTACGCCCTCCTCTGTGGCTTCCTCCCGTTTGATGATGACAACGTGATGGCATTGTATCGCAAGATCCAGGTGTGTGTGGCTCTCTGACATTTAAGTTTATTTTACTATTTAAATTTTACCAGCGACCCAGCCACAAAAGGTAGCTCAACGGAGTGGCTTACTACGTGGAAATTTATATCAGCCAATCACTATACGCACATTTCTTAATGTGGAGGGAAACAACTGGAGGACCAGAAAAAAAAATGCATACGACCATGGGGAGAACATGCAACTTCCAAATATACAGGTGCCAGGATCGAACCCACGACCTCCTGTATACCAGGTGAGGTAGTTAACATCTCACCATCATGGCGCCCGATAAGAAAACTAAAATATTATCACAGTTGCTGAGCACAGGCCCAAAGGCTCTAAAGGCCAAGTAGCCAGCAACAAACTGCACCATTAAAGTTGTAATAGATAAGAGCTGACACGTTACCAAGGACGCGGGCTTGAAAGGCATCTGTATTTTAAAACATCTGAATAAATCTCTAGTGGTATGAAAATAACGGCGACGACGACGATGATGATGTTTGTTAACGTGAGAAACTTGGTTTCCTTTGTTCAGAGGGGGAAGTACGAGATACCAAAGTGGCTGTCTCGCGAGAGCGTGACACTCCTCGACCAGCTCCTGCAGGTGAGTTGCTCGCTACACTCCTAGACCAACTCCTGCAGGTGAAGGTTTGCGTGAGCTGCTGTGGGATGCCCTTACGGTGTGGCCATGCTCATCGATAATGTGTTAAGTTTAACACACAGGTTTTCGCGACCAGTAATATAATAATTATTATGTATGTTTGAGTTGATAATTGGTTTTTTACCCTTTTATCTGGCAACAAAATTGACACCTTTTTTACGAGGAGTCATGTTTGCATAGACCACAATATTTGCAGTCATAATGCAAACAAAAAACATAACTCTGATAATATATGCACTGTCCTGCATATAGTGCATATATTATCAGAGTTATGTTTTTTGTTTGCATTATGACTGCAGGTATTGTGGTCTATGCAAACATGACTCCTCGTAAAAAAGGTGTCAGTTTTGTTGCCAGATAAAAGGGTAAAAAAACAATCATATTTTTTACTGAAAAATGAGGTACCAATGGTATGTTTGAGTTGGTAACCCGCGGCTTCGTTTGTTAAGTAAGCCAGTAAGCAAGAGTGCCACTGTGTGTGTGTGTGCGTACATGCTTAAATGTATGCACGTGTGTGCGTTGCTGTTTGGGCGGTTGCGCATACATGTGCGTGAGTGTATGAAATTGAGCGCGTGCGTGCATATGAGTGAATGTGAGGTGGGGCGGTGGTTAGTAGATTACGGTACAAACCGGTCTAATATCACTGGTGATTCTGGCAACCTGAGTTTTTCTTTCTCGCCACGGCTAATATTAGTGCTGATTATCTGAACCGCTCTGAAGTTGACTCGGCCTTAAATGATTACCTGTTGCTGTGCGTGTAAATATCAGCATTAAGGAGACAAAAGTGGACGGCTTTGGTGCAGGCCACGTCACCCCTTGTGCGCCGTTCCAGCCTTAGTAGGTACTGGCTGACAGCGCTTGTCCCCCAGCTGTCTGTATGACTACATGTGGGGGATCTTTGTATTTTGCTGTTCCATGTGTGTGATCACATAGGTGGACCCGACGCGTCGCTTGGCCGTGAGACATCTCCTAGGTCACCCTTGGCTGATGAGTGGCTATGGCTGTCCCGTAGAGTGGCACAGCAAGTTCCCGGTAACTCCCGTCCACACACTCTCTCTCGCGCTCTCTCTCTTGCTTCTGATAAGATATTAATTCATTGATCCATCAGGCTATTGACGTCAACTCTCGAATTATGGGAAAGCAGTGCCCTCTACTGTGAGCCATTCACTAACACGGTCGGTCTTGTCCTGCTTTGCCAGAGATCTGGATGGACACTTCGTTTCGTGACGTGACAGTCATATCACGATAAAATTGTGAACATTTTTCATTTTTTAACTGGACAATAACAAAAAAACTCCGTAAACGTAGGAGTTATCTTCGCAGTGGTCCGTTCAAGCGACGTCGCTTCGTTCTCTGTGCCTGTGCCAGCTGCTTCACGTGGACGAGGACTGCGTGACGGAACTCGCCGTCTTCGGAAAGAAGTCCAAGCAGCGGACGGCAGAGCTGGTCTCGGAGGTGCGCCCATCGTGTGACGGTGGCAGTGGTTTAGGCCGAAACATTGGTTCATTGCAAATAATAAATTGTGCACACATTTTGACGCAGGTATCCTAGACCATTGCATGTCCCCAAGCGGCTTACGTTTGGTCGGATAGAGAGGGCTAAACGAGAGGAGATTCGACGATGCGTTGTTGACTGGGACCGGCGGTGTTAAGATTTGTTTCTGTGGAGGAGACTCGTAAAGGACGCTACTGGGCAGTTGGAGGCAACTGCAGAGGAGTGGCGCTTAGGACAATGCAGAGCACCAGGTAGTTAAAACACAGCGGGTGGGGATCACGGGTGGTGCACCGTCCAATCACCTCGGTCAACCCATAACACCTGGGTTTGTCCCGTCACCACATGCCAGTGAGCCTTCAACATTTCATGTGGCCTATGCACAAGTGCACCTAGCCTGGCACAAGAGCTGTGGACACATCACTTCCAATTAGTTGGAAAAATTGCAGCTGTTTATATGTAGGAGGTGTATGTCTTAGTTTTTGCAGTTTCGTTTATGAACAGCACTTGCCTCAACAGTCTGTTAAGGCTATATGGGGGATATTTGGTCTCTGTTGCAGTGGCGCTACGACGAGTTCACAGCCTGCTACCTGCTGCTGCTCGCCAAGAAGGCGCTGGGTCGCCCTGTGCGTCTGTTGCCCCCGGGTGTCACCGCCCCCCGCTCCTGCCCCCGCGTGCGCGTCGCCTCTACGCCACACGCACACGCCAACAAGGTGTGCTCGCACGCACGCCCACGAGCACGCTTGCATGCGCTTGTACGCCCGGTGTGGCGAGATGTTAACCGCCTGGTATACGGGATCGCGTGGGTTTGATCCCGACTGTGACACCTGCTGTATATTTGGAGTTTGCGGTGTCTCACTCCCTGTGGTCGTGTGGATTTTTCTCCGGGCTCTCCGGTTTTTCCCTCCACATTTAGAATCTACATCGTGCGTTTTGAGTATTTGGCTGCTATGCATTTCCACAAGATAAGCTACTTTGTTGAGCTATCAATTGTGGCCAGGTCACTTCTAAAAATAACTATAGAGCTCCGATTAGCACCTCCGATTAGCACGGTTGGCTACGTACGGTGTGACAAAAAGTTCAACATAGATACATAGCTTAGTCGGCCTTATTTGGTAAAATAAAAATTGTTTAGGTCGTTTTGAAAATATTTTTTTAATAGTATGTACTCAAAATACTTGCAAACATGATCTCACACTGGTGCTTATTTCCTTAGATCCTTTCTGTATCATTGCATGTGTGTGTGTGTGGTGCATTATTGATTGTGTGTGCGTGTTGTGCGATGATTATTTTTTAATCCGTTATCGTCATTGTAATAGAACGCTGACACATCAAGCGTATTGAGTGCGCGAGACGTACCGTCATTTCATCGTCATTGTCTTCCTTGTCGTCATCACCGTCATAGTTTTATCGGTCTTTACTGTCCCGCAGTCAAGAAAGGCGCTGGCGTTCATGGCACCACCTGGCGGAGGGGTCGAGGAGCGAGGAGACGATGTGGAGCAGGAGGATGAGGAGGAGGACGCGCCGTACGTGTTTGGCTCCATGGACTTTGACGACACCGACTCTTACTTTGACGACTGCCCCTTCAGAAGGGAGAGGCATTGCTCAGGCCGACCGCCGGTATGGATGTGCGCGTGTGCGCACACGCACACACACACATATTCGCACGCAAACACGCGCACGTATAGAGACAAAGATCTCCCCGAACAGACTGTTGGGGCAAGTGTTGCTAGCAAGTAGCACCTAGGAAGGCCGGCACGGCACACGATGGGATGGGTGGCCAGTACCACCCCCGGCCGTCTTTGTCTCCCCAATGGCGATGTTTACAACACCATGCCAGATACTCATTTGAGTCGACCTACGGAGGCTCAGGGTTGATTCAGAGAATTCTCGCTGGTGTTAGCCGTGAGCGAACTGGGGTCGCCGGGTTTGTGGTAAATCGTGCAAACCACGAAACTGCAACAGATGGATCGGGCAATGCTTTTCAAACTGGGTTTGTCCTCAGCATCATTTAATAATAGGTCCTGCCCTCCCAGTCTTCAACCTGCACCGACCAGTGTGGTGAAGTATGTAAAAAAAAAAACAATGACGGCATGGATTTGTCAAGCCTTCATTTAGATTTCCCATTAACACCTCAGAGCGACCGTTCTCGTTGACCTGTGACCTCCCCCATGCATCCTTCTTAGGCCAAGAAGCCCCGACCCAAATCCGAGACGACGGAGTACGACGTGGCACAACCGCGACAGGCGCGAGCCACCGCCCCGGCAGCGGCGACGAGGCCTGGCGGCAAGGAGAACGTTCCCCACGGCCGCCCTCCCAAACCCAGCACCTCCTCCTCATCGTCATCCTCCTCTACGTCGTCTCTTTCCTCTGCATCATCGCCACTCAAACGCAAAACGCCCGGTGGGAAGGGGAATGCCGCCACTCCGCACTCGACGCCGGCGCAGGCCAGGACGCCCAACACGCTCGTCGCCCTCACGCCGGGTTCCCCGACGTGCCGGACCGGTGCCGTAGCCGAGTCGGACTCGGAGAGGAAAGCGGTGGCGAGGACTCCGGCATGGGTGAAGGAGGTGGTGGCGTCGTGGCAAGCACCGCAGGGTACGAACGCAGCCGACGGCGCCGAGTTGGTGAAGAGTTCGTGGCTGAGCCGTGCTCGTTATGTTGAAAACTCATTTCTTTGAAACTGCTTTTTGCGTTTAGTTTGTTGTCCCTTTCCCGCACCTCCGATTAGCACGGTTGACTGTATGGTGCGAACGAAGTTTAAATTACAAACGTACATATGCGGCACAGCTCTTAGCAAGCGGTGGAAAAGCCGAGCTGACTTGCAGGTAGAGATGGCACTGTGCTACGTGGTGTGCTGGGAAAGCTGGAGACATTTCAGAAAGGCTTGGGCACCTGCTGATTGATTGATAATTATTATATTCTTTGTCATGGTTTGTTCAGGAAAGTCTCTCGGAGGACTCGAGACTTATTTTCAGGTGGTTCCTGCGAAGTCGCCTGGTACACAGGAGGTCCATAGATTCGATCCCGACCCTGATGCCTGCTGTATATTTGGAGTGGAATCAAAGTACATTTAAAGTATTTGGCTGCTTTAAATTTCCACGAGATAAGCCACTTCGTTGAGCTACCATTTGTGGCCAGGTGGCTTCTGAATAAGAGCTAGATAGCTCAGTGAGCCTTACTTGGTAAAATAATAATAATGATTTAAAGCTATCGTGACTGCAGGGATTCATATTCTTGGTTCTTTCGGTAAAGTCACGTAGAAGGGAAACAATAAAATAATAAAAATATAAAAAATACAATTCTCGCGACGTTTCAACTGCAACACAAGCAATCATCATCAGGTGTGAAAAACACAGCAAGCCTCTGCACAGCCACTTTTTTCAAATTTTCTTGCTGTTTTTCACACCTGATGATGATTGCTTGTGTTGCAGTCGAAACGTCGTGATAATTTTTTTGTTTTATATTTTTATTATTTTATTGTTTCCCTTCTACGTGACTTTACCGAAAGAACCAATAATATAAAATAATAATAGTTTTACTTTTTCTCCATCGCGGGTGATGATTGCTACGGTATATTCTAATCGAGTCGTCCGCGGGTTATTTGCTGAATTGAGACCATGCGGTCGAATGACGTCACGGGATCGTTGTCGTCTACACCAGAGGTCGCAATCGGGTACCCGATACCCGTACCCTACCCGATACCCGGCTACCCGTACCCGGCCGGGTACGGGTACCCGTTTGCGACCCTGGTGCGGCTGGGTACGGGTAGGCCGTGAGTCACTGGTGAGTAACCGTTTATCACTCATTTCTCAACGTCTTGTCTCTTCTCACAATTCAAGTTCCTAGAATCAACCCACCCGCGCCTGCAACATGGCTTCATCCCAGAGGTCGCAATCGGGTACCCGATACCCGTACCCTACCCGATACCCGGCCGGGTACGGGTAGCCGGGTATCGGGTAGGGTACGGGTACCCATTTGCGACCCTGGTGCGGCCGGGTACGGGTAAGGAATCAAAACTCGTTTGCGACCTCTGGTCTACGCTGAAGCACGCGGCGCATAGTATTTTTTTATTAGCACATCATCTGTATTCATAGTGGCGGTCACTGTATTAGAAAATACGGTGAGAATAAAACACTTAGATCCCATTTTTTTTATGGCTGGTGCACATTGAGTGATCGCTGTTGGTGATATGCTGGTAGTGATGATAGATTGCATGTATGAACTCATTGCTACTGATGTAGAGAACGGCGTGTACACGCGTTCAAATGTATGCATGTTAAACTTCTTTCGCACCGTATGTAGCCAACCGTGCTAATCGGAGGGGAAGGACAACAAACTAAAGACAAAAAGTAGTTTTAAAAACGACTGTTCTAAACACGTAAGTGATCAGATCCTTCTACATCACGTGGGACGTGTTTAGTAACCATCAGGCATGTGAAGTGCAATGTCTTTATTACTTTAAGAACAGAGAGTAGTGGTAGGCTAGGAAGGAAAAGGAGGTGGGTCTCAAGGCCTGCCGATTTCCCTGCTATGGCACCGGCTTGTCAACGGGTGGCGCCAAAGTTATTTGTAAAATTCAAGCAGTTTAGCAGCTGAGGTCGACGATGAAAACTTAGTGTCAGTTGCATTGTGTGAATATCTCATCGTTTGCAATTCCATGTGTGAACCTGTATACGAGCTAAAGAGTAAGGACCTTTTTTAAAACTTAAAATTGCGGACTGATGAAGCTACCGGCGTTAACAATTTTTAAAGTGGAGGTGGTTCAGGGGTCGTGAGCACAGCTGAGATTCCTGGTTTGAGTCTGGGTTTGAGTCCGGGTTTCATCCGCCCGTGATTTAAGAAGGTTTTCAAGTGTAATGAGTTGATGGTCTTGGCCCCGCTACCAGTTATTGCACGAAATTACTGTATTTAATAATTACGTCGGTATAAAATAAAATGAATAACGACGTTTCGGGCACAACACAAGCGTCCATCATCAGATGATGATGATGGACACTTGTGTTGCGGGGAGATCCAGGCCAGGTTCAGACATCTGAACCTGGCCTGGACCTCGCTGAGGTTGAATCAGGCTTAATACGAGTACCAAGTGCATTGAGTGAACACTCGTATATAAGCAGGCACTGGTAGATTTGTGAGCGTGATACTGGCCGCCTTACCCCCGCACCGTTTGCTGTTGTGGATTTAATAGGTGCTCGCTAATGGCGCTTGCAGAGTCTATTGCAGGGGTGGGAAACCTATTCCCTTTGGGCTGGATAAGGCCCAGGACTTAATTTCACACGGCCCAGGGCCACATGAAGCTTATCACTTCAGAATGGCCAGCGATTGATATAATTATTCATAGCCAGCGAGCGTCTTAGCTGCACTAATCGGCTACTGGAGGGGAATATTTTTGATCTGGCCACACGGTGTTACATCTTAGCGCTCTATCACTTCTGACACTGTAAATGGCCTCAATGCTCAGTTAGCACGCACGTAATTTTTTGCGTTGTCATTGAGTAACACCGGGGTGTTTTTCTCGCCAAAGGTATTGAAAGTTCCAATTCGGACTTCGGTAAAGAAATGGTCGCTCGCCCTTTTGTCCATGGGACTAAACGCGTAACATTTTTTGCCGTTTCAGGACAGGGGGATTCGTCTCCGCTTGTGTCCAGGCGTGGTGACCCCCAGTGTGAGCGGCTGCGCCTGGCCCCACAGTTGAGTCCAGATCGCAAGTGAGTGTGCCCCCCCCTCAACGCATGTGGTACCAACACAGTAGCAGGAGTACCACCGCTACAAAAACAAGAACAAGCTGGCCGACGCATGACATTTTCTCCCATTTTAAATTTCTTGTGGTTTCTTGAGCTATTAGCTGGGACGTTAATTGCCTATGTGGCTGGTGCCTTCTACTACAATGGCCCCTCTTGCTCTTCCCCCCTTGGCCACTTGGCCAGTGACGATTCTCTATTCTGCTGCATCTGCACGTTTTCCGCTTGTTGCGGAGTTTCACCGTTTAAATCCAGCGGCCGCCCTGATTACCTCGGATTAGCGCAGTTAGCTACGTATGGTGTGAAAGAAGTTCAGCATACATACATGACTGCAGGTGTGTTATCCGTGATAATACCAAGCCTACGCGCCGTCTGCTTCACTGAACTTTAAATGTCCCGCAAGAGTTGGCCATCGCGTGCCGGCGTCAGGGTTCAAATTTGACAAATTAAAAATGATTCGCAAATTAATCAGTTGGGATTACACGGAGCTATCATCGCCCCCCTAGTGGCAGACTGACGCCCCAGGTCACTAACAAATGAGATGCATCTTGGTCTGTTGGGTTCTCACCTGGTTAAGCAAAACAAACTTGAAACTTTGCACACCCGCGCGTGGAATATGAATTTTATTCATTTTCTAGGAAATGTGCGTCTCGACTCACTACTGGAGGGGGTCCTGTATTGCGATGTTTGGCCAATTCCATTGTAGAGACAGAAGGGCCCGTACATCAACTTGCGTCCACTATTTAGCCACGGAGAGCCAATTGGGAACTGGTCGTCATCATTTTATTTATATTGCACAATTCATAATGCAGGTCTCGGTGCGTAACCCCCAGCTATACATTTGCAAACGGATGTTATGAACCGGCGACATTATTTACGCGAGCGAAATGCATTAAGTTTAAGACCTCGACAAGTAATTATCATAAAGCAAATTAATGCAGAGCGAAGAAAAGAGATTGCGTTCAAAGTATTTCATAAGAGTAAAAGTAATTATCTCATTCCTACACCCCGTCTGCCATGGGGAATAGGCTCGCACTCGGGATGTTGTAGGTTCAAACCCCTATTGTGAGTCAATTTGACCCATCGTCCCAAAGGGATCGATATAATCAGTAACACTTGGCGCTGAAGTTCACAGTGATTGTTCAATGGATAGGCTTGCCTCCCCCATAGGAATGTAATTTCCACCGCTGGCTCGGGATTGTAAACAGATATGGCCACTTCAAAAGGAAACCATTTACATTTTTGTTACCACTTTTTAACACACGTTGAACGCATTAATGTATTAACTTTGTTCGTCTGTAACTTTTTTAACGATGATCCAATATGAACAAAACCATAGTATGAAGTTGTTTCGCTATTATCGACTTCCACGATTGAAAACCGGACAAATTTATAAAAGGCTTTCCCAAAAGTCCGAAAAGCGAGAGTGCGCTTCCACCTCCCCTCCCGATGCCCTCATGACCTGCCGAGTCCTTTCGCGTTAGCTGGGTAAGCCACGGTGATTGCAAGAGTCACACCGATGGGCACTCTTTAAGCCGCTCTGCCCCCCAACCTCTGGAACTCCCTTGCCAGGCAACTGCGCCTGGTCCCATCTCTCTGCTTTCAAGTCAAAACCTCCCTCGTCAACTCCCGTGCCTTTGGAACCCGCTCCTCCCCACCCCCAACCCCCTTAGTCGCTTACTCATTTATTTAGAATACATTTAGATGTTTCGCTTTGTTGTCCTTCCCCTGCACCTCTTACGGTCACAGTTGGCTACGTACGGTGTGAAAGAAGACCAACTATTTTACATGCTTAATTTGAAGCTTTCGTGACTGCAGGAATTACCGTACCACACGTCGCCCTACTCATTGACATGCTAATTTTTCCTCTGCCCCCTCCCTCTCTCCGACCCCGCCTCCCCCCTCTCTCTATTTAAGGCCCCGTCACAGAGACGATCTCTCTCTTTGTGCCGATGTGTGTTCTTTCTCTGTGTATCTTTGTGATATCTGTCTGCTTATATGTCTGTCTATAGTTTTATGGTTAGATTTTTGTTGCTATTTCTTTCTTTTATACCTAATGATGATTGCTTGTGCTGCAATCGAAACGTCGTAGTATGCTATTATTTAATTTATTATTTTATCTTTATACGTGATTTTACCGAAAGAACCAAAGAGTATTTTACATGCTTTCTCTCCCTCCGCAACGCTTGCGTTCGTCCCGTTCCCTCCTGTTCCCGTTTGTAATCCTGCACTCTTTTAAGATGTTTGTTACAGTTATGGGCACGTTACAAATGCACGTTGTACTTACGTATGTATGTACGATGACCTTATTTCGCACCGTACGTAGCCAGCCATGGTAATCGGATGTGCGGGGGAAGGACAACAAACTAAACACAAAAATCAGTTATAAAGAAATTAATTTTCAATCTAGACGATTTAAAAGTGCACAGCTCCAGTGGCTAATATCGTAAGGAAGAGCGTTCCAGACGGCCGCAGAAATGCACCAGAAAGCGCGCGATGCGATGACCGTCTTTGTCCGATGGTTCGCCAAAAGCCGCCGCTGGGAGAATGACCGGAGTTTGTGTGTTGGTTCATGCTCCTTGACGAGATTCGCAAGCTATTGTGTGGTTCATTTGTGGCAAGCACGTTGTGTGTAACGAGCGTGGTTTCTGATTGACAACTACTCGTGGAACACCGTTCATATGCGGTAGAGTCCTTGGGCACGCAGCAAATATTTGACCTGTTGGTACCACGTGAGGTGGCAAAAATGTACCAACATCTTTAAGTCGCGAATGAAAGTGAATTATTGGTCAGCAGATTCGGGTCTTCGGGGTCCGACACTGAACGTGGCTTTGCCGCCGCCGCCAACTGTGGAGGAGTCGTAGCGAGCGGCGGCGGTGCCGCCGGTGGCTCCAAGACGCGGCGCGGGGGGAAGGTGTTCGGGAGCCTGGAGCGCGGCATCGACCGCGTGCTGGCGGCGCTGACACCCAGCAAGCGGCGCGGCTCGGCGCGGGACCTTCCCCGGCGCACGCGGGTGAGACGAGAGGCGAGACGGCGGAGAGACGCGCATCGGCATGCCTCGCCCTTTGTACGTAGCCAGCCGTGCTAATCGGAGGTGCGGGGGAAGGACCACAAGCTAAACGCAAAAAACTGTTCTAATAAAGAATGAGTTTTCAATCTAGATGATTTAAAAGTGCATCGCTCCAGTGGCTTACTAATATCGGAAGGGAGGGCGTTCCAGACGACCGCAGAAGCGCATCTGAACAAGTGTGATATGGTGACCGTCTTTGTTTGATGGTCAGCCAAAAGCCAATGCTGGGGGAAACGGAGTTCGCGTGATGATGTGATGATGGTTTATGTTCCTTTGGTTGCTTTTCCCTATTTGGGCCCAACCAGCACGAGGCGATCGCAGTGCCGCTGGAGTTTTTCCCACCGGCTCTTTGCTGTGCCGAGTTGGAACCAAACCGTGATACGCTGACCTCACAAGTCATCTGAATCTGGCTGGGGGCCAAGCAGGGCCAGAATGTGGGGCTAATCACAATCAGAATATTTGTTCATACTGGAGGAAACCGATGAGATGTAAAGCTTTTTTTTTACAAATGTCCAATAATGATAAATTCATCCCATGTGACTTGAGTGAGTATCTTGAGTACAAAGAATCACTGCGTCATCAACACGCGACTCGACTCGTTCATTCACGTGCTGATTAGTGCTCGCCAACATTCTCTGCAGACTATTGTTTTCGTTTGTTATGTGCAAAAGAGTGTGTGTGTATATATGTGTTCCTCTGTGGGGAGCAGTGGTGTAGCGGTGGTCTAGCAGTTAGCGCGCTGCGCTACGAACCCGTCGACCCGAGTTCAATTCCCGCTCGCACTCAAAATCGGTGACGATTATCTGAACCTGGTATGGGCCTCCCCGAGGTCGACTCAGCCTCAAATGAGTACCTGGTGCGGTGTGTAAACATCACCACTGGGGAGATAAAGGCAGTCAGGCGTGGTGCTGGTCACCCACAAACCTCGTGCGCCATGCCGGCCTTCACAGGTGCTCGCTAACAACACTTGCCTCAACAGTCTATTAAAAGCACAATGGGGGATTTTTGCTCTTTTTGACCTCTGGATTCACTGGTTGACCTTCACATATGATTGTGCCATCATGAATTCTAGACCTTTTACAAGCCGCTCTGCTTCGCTGTGTGTGTGCCCCCATGTGTGCGTGTGTGTGCATGCATGCACACGTATGCGCCAGCATGTGTGTGTATGTGTGCACATGCATGCATGTGTTTGCGTGTGCACTAGAGGCAGGGTGCTGGCTACCTACCACCTCGTGTACCGTGTTGGCCTTCATACGTGCTACTCGCGAACAGCACCTGCCCCAAACTGCCTTTATGGGCTACACGGGGGATCTTTGTCTTTGTGCGCAAAAGCTTGTGGACACCATAGGAGTGTGTGCGCATCTGCAGATGTATGTGCACTTGCATGTGTGTGTATGTGTGTGTCCGTGCGTGTACATGGTACTGGCCACCTACCACCGCACGTGCCGTGCGGAGTTCACAGGTGCTAGCTTACAGCACTTGCCCCTACAACGTATGTCGGTTATCCAGGCGTATTTGTCTTTGTCTTTTGTACGTGTGCCTGTGTGTGTGACGCATCAATTATGCGTCCAAGAAGGCATGAAAGATTCCCATCAAGGGCTCACATTTTCCGAACTATCTTTCTCTGAAACAAACCATAAATACCATCTCTGAAGTATTATTTGCGGGAGCGAGGGAGGGGGGAGGCTTCGAGAGCTTAGAGATAGATCTTTTACATTTCATTACACCGCTTCGGAGCCCCATTTTTTTTATATGAAAGCACAAGGAGATGAAACTGGCCAAAATAAAATAATAAAAAGAAATAGACCGCACACATATATATGCTTACTTATCTGAAGGCGAAAAGATACAATACATACCGTCTAGCTACCAACTAGATTTCAATCTCTTTTGCCGGGTTATTAGTCAATAAGAGGGGCAGGGAGTGGGAGTTTGCATTTAGAGTAGAGCGGCGGGGCGAGAGATGTGAAATAAGGGCAGGTCATCGCCTGAGCGGGGGTGGGGGTGTGTGGCCCCAACTAAATCCCCCACCCCCTCCTCCTCTCCACCCCCATCCACCCTCCTCCTTTGCTGTCCCCTCGCTGCTAGGGGTTTTAGCTGGCCCAGGGTCTCGCTCCTCCACTCTTGGTCTGTCGAAGTCACCCCTCAATTATTGTAACCACAGCCACTGGCAAAGTGTCCCCTATTTGTTGTTTTGTCCTCGCATCTCGTCTTTGCTCTTCCTCTCCATTTTCCTCTAAATTTCTGTTTAAAAAATTCGAAATGGGATGTGTCCCTCCTCACTCTCCGCATCACGTGGCCATACCATCTTGGTCTTGCTCCGCTCGCTTCTTACACAACACTTTGTACCCCAACTCGTTTTATGATGTCCTTAATTCTTCCCTTATCTCTCCGCCCGCATCCTGGCAATGATGGCGATGATGATGTTGTCACGGTTGGGGGTGACTGCCTCTGCATTGGAGGGTTACAAGGGGTCATGTTGCGCTTTCGTTCCATCTCTGCGCTCAGCCGTGCGTGCCGCCTCTAAATATACTTTCCTTTTATTTAAATCACGCACGGGCACCCACTGATATTCGTTCTCAACCAGAGGAGGCATAGCTGCGTTTTTTGTACAGCGTCTCCTAGAAATACTGGGATGAAGGCTAAACCAGCGGACCTCTGTTTTTGTTGTGTGTGTGTATATATATACATGAGTGTACGTGTGCGATAGAGTGGCAAAGAGCAGAACTGGTCCTGGATCTCGCCTAGATCAACTGAGCCTTTCATGATGCGTGGCGCCATGTGTAAACATCAGACACAAATTAGTACCTGGTGCAGTGTGTAAACGCCACTGAGGAGACAAAGGCGTCCGGGCGTGGTGCTGGCCACCCACTCCCTCGTGTGCCGTGCCGGCCGCCATAGGTGCTGCTCGCAAACAGCCCTTGCCCCTACAATCTGTGAAGGCTATACAGGGGATCTTTGTGCCAACCCTGTGTTCTCCCCCTCCTCCCACACTCTGCTCCGCGTGGCTTGTTGGCAGTACCACTACAACGTGACTCCCACGGGGAGCCTCAGTGCCGAGCAGGTGCTCGCAGAGTTGGTGCGGGTCTTGCCGCAGAAGCACATCGACTTCCAGCAGAAGGGGTGAGGCCAACTCGCCCCATACTTCATCGCCCTCCTGCCTAATGATGCTTTGTTTGCGGTTGTTTTTTTTTGTGTGTGCGGATTTTTATTTGCTTTATCGCCGTACTGTTGTCTGATTTTATTTGTTATTGCGTTTGTCATTTTGGTGACTCCAGGTCACTCTTGCAGTCGAGTCTGTGCTGGTCTCTTTTGTTCTCGACTGGTTAAGCGAAATAAACCTGAACCTACAACTTGAACCGGCGCCAACTCATAGGCCGGCAGCTGGCATGTCACTCGACACCACAGCCCAATGCGATTCATTTAAACGAGGCAAACACTGGGTCAGCTTCATCAGCAGGGAGTGGCTTAAACTAAAACTATTTAAACAATTTTTATGTTATCAGGTAAGGCCCACCGAGCTATGTAGCTCTTTTTCAGAAGCTACCTGGCCACAAATGGTAGCTCAACGAAGTGGCTTACCACGTGGAGATGTATAGCAGCCAAATGCTCTAAATGCACGTCGATTCTAAACATGGTGGGGAAAACTAGAGGACCTGGAGAAAAATACACACGACCACGGGGAGAACATGCAAGCTCCAAATATATAGGCATCAGGGTCGGGATGGAACCCACGACCTGCATACCAGGAGAGAGAGCGAGTTAAGAACTCGCTACCGGGGCGCCCAACATTAATAGGATGCAATTTTCTGCCACTCCCTGACGATGGCTCCTCTTATTTACCAAAAAAAAACGCGCCTATGATAGAACATATGCAGCACTTGCGGCAAACACTTTGAGGGTTCGTCTTGTGAGCAGAAAACCGAGCGTTAAAAATTGAATTAATTGTGCAATGCCACTGTTCCTACCGGCAACAAAATATAGGATAATGTTTAATGAGTTCCGGCAGGCTTTACGGATAACAGGAGGGTCACTATATTATTATGCGGGCGGGGGGGGGGGGGCGTCCGCAACGTTGTTTACGTATTACCCACAATGCACTGGGGGACCACGTAATTATTTTGTTCAGGGTAATCGCTTCGCTGACCTCGGCGGTTAATGTATTTGTTGCCCTCTGACGGGTGGGTGGGTGGGGCGAGAGAGCGAGTGAGGTGTTGGGGGTGGGTGGGTGGGTGGGGGGTGTAGAGGGGTAGGGGTGCATGCTGTTCACCAGCTGGTGAGCGTGTCTGGCCACGTACGCGTTGTTGTCTCTGCGTGCGTGCGGGACCCGGTGGGGGAATGATAGCGTAGTAGTTAGAGCGGGGGTGAGGATTTGGCCTACGACAACAGTTCATAATATTTTTTCAGAATGTGTATTTATTCTGGAGGAATCCGATGATCTGTGAAGCTCTTTTTCACATTTGTCCAAATTTCGCACGGCACGTGGCCTACGTGAGGCCCACCGTTTCGAAACGGGCCCCAAACTAGATTTATTTATCCATCCACTGCATGCGTCTTAGCAGCACTAATGGGTGGTTGTAGAGCGCAATATTTTCCTTCTGCATTGCCCAGTGTTGACAACGTAGCTCCACAGCAGCCTACAACAACTGCAGGTTTGACGCATGGTGGTCACACATTCAAGCACTTGGGCACATTCTGGGTGATTTTGTTGTAGCGTCATGCTTTATATCTGAAATTTATCTTTAGAATATATACATAAAATATATTGTAATTAAGCGTGAATTACAAATGTTTAGTCATTTTTGAGTTATGCCTGTGCACTCCCGGCAATGCAGTCCGCTCAATATTTGTTTGTACTAATTTTTGCAATGGAGGAACTTGAAAACACCAAGACGTATTTATCTGTTATGATAATCATAATGTGTTCGGCTAATGATGTCTCACATTCTCATATGCTCCCACGCACACACATTAACTCACACACATTAACTCGCACAAACACACTCCCTCGCACACTCTTGCACACATCCGCACACACACCCGCGCACACACACACCTGCACACTCTCGCACATACACTCTGGCACACTCTCGCACGCACCCGCACATACACTGTCGTGCGCACACTCGCACGCATGCAACGTAGGTACACCCTCAAGTGCCAGACGCAGTCGGACTTTGGCAAGATCACGATGCAGTTCGAGTTGGAGGTTTGCTCGCTGCTCAAGCCCGAGGGCGTGGGCATCAGGCGGCAGAGGCTCAAGGGAGACGCGTGGGTCTACAAGCGGCTCGTGGAGGACGTCCTCGCCTCTGCCAAGCTGTCCTAGCTCGGCGTGTCGCCCCCTCTCGCCGCCGTGTAATTCCTCTCAAACTTCCGTTTCCTCGCGTTCCTCCCATTTCTACGCCAGTAACGCCCCTTACCAAACTCCTTTTCTCTTCTGCTCCCTCTAACCTTGAAATACCACCGTCCCTCTCGCCCCTCTATTGTACGTATGTATGTTGAACTTCTTCCGCACCGTAAGTAGCCGACCGTGCTAATCGGAGGTGCTCCCTCTCCCAGTGTAACCCAAGAACTCCGCTCCCTTGCCCTTCTGTTTTTCCTTTTTAACGTTATAACACGCGGGTTTTGAAACTATAGCCTGCGACTTTGTCATACGGTCTGCTGGGCCAGATTGGGCCCACCACTGCAGAGCGCCCCACAAACAATAACCATTCGGGAATGCGAGAAACTTAGCTGCACTAATGTATGTACGTTGAGCTTCTTTCGCACCGTATGTAGTCAGCTCATCGGAGGTGCGGGGGGAAGGGCAACAAACTAAACAAGAAGCAGTTCAAAATAAATACGTTTTCAATCTAGATGACTTAAAAGTGCATGGCTCCAGCGCTTTCCTAATAACGGAAGCAAGAGCGTTCCAGACGGCCGCAGAAGCGCATCTGAAAGCGCGCGATGCGGTGACCGTCTTTGGTTCGATGGTTTATGCTCCTTGGCTACATCAGCAAGGTATTAAAAAGTACTAATCGGGTACTAGAGGGGAAATATTTTTGACCTGGCAACAACACTTTGTAATCTTAGCTCATCCAGTGAATTCTGTCACTGCAAAAGTCTCTTTTTTCTCGGTCGGCACTCACGTCGCTATTTTTCCCGTCTCTATTGGACAACGCTGATGTCTTGGCGTCAACGGGGTGTGGCTCGCAATAGGGATTGAAAGTCCCATTGGGCCTCGGGAAGGGAAATGTGGCCCCACCCCCTGTGGTAACGACGACCCCGATCCTGTTCCCGCTCTGTCCCTCCGTGTCGTCGTGTAACACTACCGCTGCTGCCACTCACCTGTACGTCGGCTAAATAGGGACACATCCCTATAAACACGTAGCCCGCCCGCGTGCGTGTGTGTGAGTGTGTGTGCTCGCAGCCTGCTGGAACTAATCCACGTATTTTTAAAGCTGCAATTGTTTAAAGCTGCACGTGTTCAGCTAAAGCTTTGGTTGTGGTCGGTAAGGAATGTCTGATTTGTTGGTGCTGACTCTGCGTGTGCGTTACGGTGAGGTATGATTAACAATGCATGCTTCCTTTGCTTTGGCAAGGGTTTTATATTATTAAGAAAACGAGTCAGTCGAATTTAGCAAACGTCTGTGAGATGGATTTCGGTGATCCTAATGAGCTAAGGGTTCAGTGTCATATGAGACGAGGCATCTGTATTAGATGAGACGAAGGTTCTTCATTAAATTATGCTCGAGTTCTCTATCGGACGAGACGAGGTGTCTGTATTGAATGGGCCAAAAGGCGTCCTCTGCTGGATCTGAAATAATCCAATTGACCACTTTTCAAGTATCAATGCAATGTCACATTTTCAGTCAAGTTAGAGGGTCTTGGGCTGTCTAGTGGCCTGGTCACAATACATTTACCAAGTTTTGCGTCTTAATATTTAAAAGGAGTACGGTTAAATAATAATAAATATGCATTGCCAGAATTTGAGTCTATATAGCATCGCATTTTGTGCTGAACACGCTACGAATGTAGACAGCACTTGGGGGACAAAATAAATAAGGAAATATACCGAAACACAACGCGCGGTGGGTAGATTAAGCAGCAGTGTGACCGCCGAATTGCAATAGCGCATAACGTAAAAGCGCGTCGCTTGTCTGTGCAAATACTGCCCCTGGACCGTGCTTGCTTGGTTGTGGCGATCGTTGTTGCGCTGACGTCGTTTGTTAGAGGCATTTTCGCTCGTGGGACGAGGTGGGGTAAGAAGATGGGAACATTTTAAGCGTGGCATTTTTGCATGAATTTCCATTCGAAGCCATACGTAATTTTGCCCATCTTACTGAAAATATATTCTCGTCACGTTTTGTTCTCAGCACCATTTGCCATTTGTTTACACGGGCAAACGCGAACTGAGATTTGCTCGCTCTGCTGACGAGAGCAAAAAATTTCGAAACTGGCCCACAGTTTTTCTTGTTTTTACGCGGAGAGAGATAATGTCGTAATTCTATTCTCTAAGCATAACACTCCCATTTCATCGCGGAGCCGATCGCTGCTCATGTTCTCAATCTGTCCGCCACTGAAACTAATTTTTGATACCAATCCGGCAGCATTTGCCCCGAGGCTTCTCTGCTCTTGGAATATGATTAAATGTATGATGAAATTCATAGGAATCTTGAGCCATCCGAAAAAAAAGCCTTTATTATCACATTTTTTCGCACATTATTATTCAACCTAACTTGATCGCTGCCTTGTTACTTGGTAATGTGTACGTCTGGTGGGACGATGGATTGTTGGCAGGAGTTGGAGCAAGTTGTAATGCATGCTGGAAAGGGTGGATTGTTGAAAACAGCTGTTGAGTGGGTTCGCGAACGATGTCATTCAGGAAATCAGTAGGTTGCTTAAATGGTTTGCTGAGTAAATGTGGTGAAAGTGAATGTGGCTTCCGTTGGGTTGAAATCAAGGCTGGGTCTAATCTGGAATAGCGACCTGAAAAAAGATGTCCACACCTTGCACACCGCATCCAGGATGCCTCTCTGGATGACTACCCATCTCGGCACGTGTCACCCTCCAGTCGACCAACGGCCGGGGACATATTCAGAGAAATGAATTCCTGCTGAGTTGGTATTAATTCTCGATTTGAAGTTTTCGTGACTTGCAAGGATCCATACTTTTAGTTTTTTTCGGTAAAGTCACGTAGGTATAAAATAAAATAAATTTAAATGAAAACAATTAAATTAAAATGAAAACAACTAAATTAAATTTAGTTTTCATTTTATTTTTTACCTACGTGACTTTACCCAAAAAACCCAAAAAGTACGAGTTGCTATTTTTGCGATTGCTCTATATAACAACTCGCCTATGTGTTTTCAGGTTGTGCCGTGCGTTGTACGGCACGATGTCCGACGTTTCGCTCCACGTGCCAGGAGAGCTTCTTCGGGGAACTGGATTTAACGTGCGGCTTGCCAGCACGTGGAGCTGAAACGTCGGACATCGTGCCCAACAACACGCGGTACAATGCGAGAGCACGCCGGACAGCTACTTGCCCACGATAAAAAAAAAATCATAGCGTGCCACAATGTTCGTATCTGCCTCGCTTGCCGCACCAAAACGCCTGAATGCGTGATGAGGTTTTCCGCTTGTGCGATGGCATCAGCAGAGTGCTGGCTGCCTGATGAATGTGCAGGATGCTCTGGCCCGTTTCTCTTGTTTTCCCCGCTTATGTTTGGTTTATTCTTTAAAGGTCAACGGTTCCATTTCCCCCCTTTCTCACGAGTCGTTTAATTTAGCCGACGATTTTCACGCCGCATTATCCCTGTGTTGGTCTTACCTTAATTGCGCCCGCGACTGTTTTGTCTTCTTGAGTGTTTTTTTAAAGTGTGAATTATTCATTGCTACATTCTATGTGCGTGTTTGTGTGTGCGTGCGCGTGTGCTACTTATTCAGACTGCCACGTACAGCTGTGAGATGCTAGTGGGGGGGGGGGGGGGGGAGTCGTTGCATCGTCTTTAGCGCACTGCTCAAGAAACCCGGCAACTCGAGTTCGATCCCTGGCCAAGTGGTATCTGAACCTGTCCTGGCCCTCTCTTAGGTTGACTCAACCTTAACATGAGCACAGTATGCCGTGTGAGCATTAGCACTTGGTAAACATAGGTGGTTGCGTGTATTCTGCGCAAGGCCTTAATGTGCTCATTCACAGCACATGCTTCTGCACCCTGTATGACTATGGCTAATCATTGGTATTTGTGTATGGCGACTGGTGTCACGGCATACTTCACCGCATTTGCCCAAGTGCAGGTTCGCGACGGGTTCGTCCGAGAACCAGCTGAGATATCCCTTGCCACCGATGTTAGCCGTGCCAAAGGAGATGCACCACAAACTGTCGCTGATTAAATAAAGACCAGTTTAAATGCACATTCAGGTCAGTACAATGAATACAAACGCCTTGTAAATATCCTGAGCCATGCCGTGTCTAATGCTGGATGGAACCTCGGTGTAACACTACTGCATGCGATTGCCAGCATACTTGATATGTGTCCCAATACTTGGTCATTACTGAACGGGTTGGCGTCTGTATTTTAATTGCTGTTGTGATTTAAATGTTTCATTTGCACACACTGAAAAAAATAAATGATTTTGTGGGCTTACAATTTACTGCCTCGGGTTTAGCGGTTCTGCTGTACGGCTGTGATGTGTTTCTGGATTGCACCGCGCATTTTGCACGTTGTCCGACGTTTTGCTCCACGTTTTCGGAGCTTCTCCAGCAACTGGCCAAGCAAGGTTTAAGTGAATATTCAGTAACCTGAAGCTCTAAACTAAACTATTTTAATTTTGATTTAAAGCTTTCGTGACTGCAGGGATTCATATTCTTGGTTCTTTCGGTAAAGTCACATAGAAGGGAAATAATAAAATAAAATAATAAATATTTTTATTATTTCCCTTCTACGTGACTTTACCGAAAGAACCAAGAATATTTTAATTTTACTACGTAAGGCCCACTGAGCTATATAGCTCTTTTCAGAAGCGACCAGAAAAGCTAGCCCAATGAAGTGACTTATGTGTAAATGTCAAGCAAACAAATACTCTAAACGCATGTTTCTAAATGTGGAGGGAAAAACCGGAGGACCCGGAGAAAAAAAATCCACACGACCACGGGGAGAGAGAGACACGCAAACTGCAAATATACAGCAGCAGGCGTCAGGGTCGGGATCGAACCCACGACCTCCTGCATACCAGGCGAGGTAGTGAACATCTAGCCACTGTGATGATGCTGAGAGAGAGACACGCAAACTGCAAATATACAGCAGCAGCAGGCGCCAGGGTCGGGATCGAACCCACGACCTCCTGCATACCAGGCGAGGTAGTGAACATCTAGCCACTGTGATGATGCTGAGAGAGAGACACGCAAACTCCAAATATACAGCAGCAGCAGGCGCCAGGGTCGGGATCGAACCCACGACCTCCTGCATACCAGGCGAGGTAGTGAACATCTCCTAGCCACTGATGATGCTGAGAGAGAGACACGCAAACTCCAAATATACAGCAGCAGCAGGCGCCAGGGTCGGGATCGAACCCACGACCTCCTGCATACCAGGCGAGGTAGTGAACATCTAGCCACTGTGATGATGCTGAGAGAGAGACACGCAAACTGCGAATATACAGCAGCAGCAGGCGCCAGGGTCGGGATCGAACCCACGACCTCCTGCATACCAGGCGAGGTAGTGAACATCTAGCCACTGTGATGATGCTGAGAGAGAGACACGCAAACTCCAAATATACAGCAGCAGCAGGCGCCAGGGTCGGGATCGAACCCACGACCTCCTGCATACCAGGCGAGGTAGTGAACATCTCCTAGCCACTGATGATGCTGAGAGAGACACGCAAACTCCAAATATACAGCAGCAGCAGGCGCCAGGGTCGGGATCGAACCCACGACCTCCTGCATACCAGGCGAGGTAGTGAACATCTAGCCACTGTGATGATGCTGAGAGAGAGACACGCAAACTCCAAATATACAGCAGCAGCAGGCGCCAGGGTCTGGATCGAACCCACGACCTCCTGCATACCAGGCGAGGTAGTGAACATTTCCTAGCCACTGTGATGATGCTGAGAGAGAGACACGCAAACTCCAAATATACAGCAGCAGCAGGTGCCAGGGTCGGGATCGAACCCACGACCTCCTGCATACCAGGCGAGGTAGTGAACATCTAGCCACTGTGATGATGCTGAGAGAGAGACACGCAAACTCCAAATATACAGCAGCAGCAGGCGCCAGGGTCGGGATCGAACCCACGACCTCCTGCATACCAGGCGAGGTAGTGAACATCTAGCCACTGTGATGATGCTGAGAGAGAGACACGCAAACTCCAAATATACAGCAGCAGCAGGCGCCAGGGTCGGGATCGAACCCACGACCTCCTGCATACCAGGCGAGGTAGTGAACATCTAGCCACTGTGATGATGCTGAGAGAGAGACACGCAAACTCCAAATATACAGCAGCAGCAGGCGCCAGGGTCGGGATCGAACCCACGACCTCCTGCAGACCGGGCTCGGTAGTTGACGTGTTGCTCCCGGGCAAGTGGAGCGCGTCGTTGGAACATGCCGAACAACAAGACGGTACAATGCTGAATTGACGACGGCTCGCTGGAAGAATGTCAAGGGCAGGGACCACGTGTGTGTGCAGTGTAAACACACCTGGTCTCACGTGCCAGTTGTTGCTGCCTCCCGAAGGTCGACTCGGCCTCAAATGAGTACCTGGTGCGGTCTGTAAACATTGCCATGTGGATAAAAATGCTCCTTGTGGTGGTGTTGCAGCCACCCATTTTCCTTCGTGTGCCGTGCCGGCCTTAATAGGTGCTACTCGCTAACAGTATTTGCCCCAAACACTCTGTAATGGCTAAACGGGGAATCGTTGCACACACAAAGACAAAGATCCCTCCTTATATCCTTAACAGACTACTGGGGCAAGTGTTGTTAGCGAGTAACACCTTTGAAGACCGGTGCGGGAAAAGAGGGGGTAGGTGGCCAGCATCACGCTCGCCCACACACACACTTGCCCACACACACACACACACTTCCACACACACACACATTCACACACACACATCCACACACACACACTTGCCCACACACGCATTTGCCCACACACACACTTCCACAAAGAAAAAGACAAAGATCCCCCGTATAGCCTTAACAGACTGTAGGGGCAAGTGCTGTTAGCGAGCACCTATGAAGGCCAGAACGGTACACGAGGTGGGTGACCAGCACCACGCTCAGCCACAAACACATACGCACTTGCCCACACACACACTTGCCCACACACACACTTCCACACACACACACTTGCCCACACACACACTTGCCCACACACACACTTCCACACACACACTTCCACACACACACTTGCCCACACACACACTTGCCCACACACACACTTGCCCACACACATACACACACACGCACATCCACACACACACTTGCCCACAAACACACTTTCACATACACACACTTCCACACACACACACTTCCACACACACACTTCCACACACACACTTCCCCACACACACACTTGCCCACACACAAACACACTTGCCCACACACACACTTCCACACACACTTGCCCACACACACACTTGCCCACACACACAATTGCCCACACACACACTTCCACACACACGTTTGCCCACACACACACTTGCCCACACACACACACACTTGCCCACACACACACACACTTGCCCACACACACACACACTTGCCCACACACACACACTTGCCCACACACACACTTCCACACACACTTGCCCACACACACACTTGCCCACACACACACACTTGCCCACACACACACACTTGTCCACACACACACTTGCCCACACACACACTTGCCCACACACACACTTGCCCACACACACACTTGCCCACACACACACACTTGCCCACACACACACACTTGCCCACACACACACACTTGCCCACACACACACTTGCCCACACACACACTTGCCCACACACACCTTGCCCCACACACTTGCCCACACACACACTTCCACTTGCCCACACACACACTTGCCCACACACACACTTCCACACACACGTTTGCCCCACACACACACTTCCACACACACGTTTGCCACACACACACTTGCCCACACACACACTTGCCCACACACACGCACACTTGCCCACACACACACACTTGCCCACACACACACTTCCACACACACGTTTGCCCACACACACACTTGCCCACACACACACTTGCCCCACACACACACACACTTGCCCACACACACACACTTGCCCACACACACACTTGCCCACACACACACTTGCCCACACACACACACTTGCCCACACACACACACTTGCCCACACACACACACTTGCCCACACACACACACTTGCCCACACACACACACTTGCCCACACACACACTTCCACACACACACTTGCCCACACACACACACTTGCCCACACACACACACTTGCCCACACACACACACTTGCCCACACACACACTGCCCACACACACACTTGCCCACACACACACTTGCCCACACACACACACTTGCCCACACACACACTTGCCCACACACACACTTGCCCACACACACACTTGCCCACACACACACTTGCCCACACACACACTTGCCACACACACACACTTGCCCACACACACACACTTTCCCACACACACACACTTGCCCACACACACACTTGCCCACACACACACTTGCCCACACACACACACTTGCCCACACACACAACCTTGCCCACACACACACTTGCCCACACACACACTTGCCCACACACACACACTTGCCCACACACACCACTTGCCCACACACACACACTTGCCCACAACACACACACTTGCCCACACACACACACTTGCCCACACACACACTTGCCCACACACACACTTGCCCACACACACACACTTGCCCACACACACACACTTGCCACACACACACACTTGCCCCACACACACACTTGCCCACACACACACACTTGCCCACACACACACACTTGCCCACACACACACACTTGCCCACACACACACTTGCCCACACCACACACTTGCCCACACACACACACTTGCCCACACACACACCTTGCCCACACACACACTTGCCACACACACACTTGCCCACACACACACACTTGCCCACACCACACACTTGCCCACACACACACTTGCCCACACACACACTTGCCCACACACACACACTTGCCCACACACACACTTGCCCACACACACACTTGCCCACACACACACTTGCCCACACACACACACTTCCACACACACCTTGCCCACACACACACACTTGCCCACACACACACACTTGCCCACACACACACACTTGCCCACACACACACACTTGCCACACCACACTTGCCCACACACACACTTGCCCACACACACACTTGCCACACACACACTTGCCCACACACACACACTTGCCCACACACACACTTGCCCACACACACACACTTGCCCACACACACACTTGCCCACACACACACTTGCCCACACACACACACTTGCCCACACACACACACTTGCCCACACACACACACTTGTCCACACACACACTTGCCCACACACACACTTGCCCACACACACACTTG